GGGGGGGGGGGGGGGGGGGGTAGTTAACTCTTCCTGCGCACGGGTTCCACGCCTCCTGCAGGCCCTTCTGAGAAGAAGGTGACTAATAAAGAGGGAGAGAGAGAAAAAAATGGCTTATTATGCGTGTAATTAAAAAAAAAACAAATTTTTTCACTTTTACAGCCTAGTACTGTAATTGAAAAATGAAAAATAATTAAGCCCCCTGCTAGCCCTTCATGGGCCATGGCGCACTTTGTACGTCACGCTCGTCTTGTATACAACTCACAAGATTCATTGGGAGTTTTATAATCGCTTTTTTCTTTACATCTACGATAAAAAAAACGAACGAGAAAATACAGGGATCAAGCTGCGGACCTCGCGAGATTCAAATAAAAATATCGTAAAGAGCTCATATGCTTTATTTAAATAGTTTATTCCATGGTATTTTTAGCTGTTTCGGCTGAGTGGCCTCCGATTTGTACAGCGGATCTTTTGTACCATTTTGTCGCTCATTGTTTATTCGTAATTGTTTTCTCCTATAATTATTTAATGATCTTATCCCTGCATCTGGTGGATTTCTCTGTGTGGATTTTCCTCCCGCTTCTGGTTGGCATTGTGAAAATTGTTGGTTTCTTTTCGGGGGACATGACTGTTGTTTTCCATCGGACGATCCCATTGATAATTGTAATGATGTTGGATCTGATGGTCGTCTCTGTGTTTGTTTTTGTTCTCTCCATGCCGGCCTGAAAATTCCTCTCAATCTCACCGGTACCTCTAGGGTTTTAAGATTCTGTCAGACGAGAGTAGAAAAATTTTAGTTCGCGTCGTGGGGTCAATCGTATACGCTCATCGCGATCGCGCTCAATATCATTTACCTTATGATAAATCGGGTACATGGTTTCGAGATATAGAACCCGAGACCCTTTGCTGCTTTGATGCTCTGAGCTCTGATAACGAGACTTCAGTATCGTCTGCACGTGTTTGAATTTGAAATAAAATTTGGTAGAACGATTTCTCTTTCCGTCCCAGGTGAAAGAGTAAGCCTTTTTTTTCAATCCGCCTACATACGTTACGAAGCGCGCCCTATGTTCGTCAAATTTGTACTTCTTACAGCTGGGCACGTCATTTTTTTCAATACATAGTTTCGCTGCTTTCGCATGATCACTATTCATTGCTACTGTCAAACATTCAATCAAGTCTGTTTGGCACTCGAACAGCGTTTTCATCTTCCTTTTGCCGTCGTTGTTTATTTGTAAATACTTGTCCATGCAATCTATAAATTTTAACCCGCCGTGTTCGTCCGTCTTGACACCGGCCACCTCCGTGCATTTACATATTTTATCACAGCTCTCTCTGTACACGTGCATATGAGCGTGTCCACGGAATCGCTCTTTGGAGTCTTTTATCAATTTTTCCGAATCTTCGTCTGACCAAACCTCGCCTCCGGATAAGCTACCTGCGTTCGCGTGACACGCAAAAATCAACGTCACGTTTACGAGCAATGAGATGTATATATATTATATACGTACAGCGAGAGCACTGGAAGTGATGATCGCGGCCTCTCAGACGACTCTCGTAGAGCTTGGCCAGCATCCGCTGGACGGCGACCTGTCTCAGGGCCGTGGCCGGATAGCCGGTCTGGTCCGAGACGACGTCGAAGCCGCAATTTTGCGGATGACTTCGGGCGTCCGGATTGCGGGGCTCCTCACCCTCAAGTAGGGTAAAGTGGCCCACTGCTTTGCCCGTCGATAAGCCACACGCGGGACACTTTTTGTCGGTCAGCGATTTGTACTTGAGGTGCAATCGGGGCTTGTGTCGATGGTGACACCTGCCGAACAGCAACAATTTGTCCTTGGCCCAGACGTTGATCGGCCGTCGCAGAAACTGGCTCAACTCGAAGATGTGGCTCGTGGTCGCCGGCCCGTGAATTATCGACCATACGGTTTCCCCGAGGATCGGTATCATGGCGCACTTCCGGATACGATTTTGCTATTTTTTTTCTTCTTTTATTATATTTTTACTTTTTTTTTGTTAAATTTTTTTTCACTCAAGCAATAATTTTGATGTTTTCGTAATTTGAAAGGGATTGTGAATTTTGAGCCGAAACGTTTCTTATGCTTAAGCAATCATTTTGACGTTGCCGAAGTTGAAGGTTATAAGTGCGCTTGACGCACGATAACCTGGATCACGATTCGTTTCTGCATAAAAAGAACTTGTCAGGTATATACATCGTGTTCTGCTCGTTGAAAGACATTAAAATGTAAAGGACCTTTATAATAAAACATATTTTTTTTGTATTACTACTTAATCTATTATTTTATTAGATTACGAAAAGAAATTGGCAATGAAATTTCTTTTCCATTCCTCTCTCAAGGTGGTTGGGTGATGAATCGAAAATGAATAGATAGTTTTGAATATTGAAGGGGTCCTTCGTTGTGATTTCCTTGATAATTCCTCAAAATTTCAGTCCCAGTTGTCGAACTAACTTTCGCCAACGATTAATGTAAAAGTCGCGTTATTAACATGGGCTCTTGTGTTAATCAGCTGTGAAGGAGGCTCTACACATAATACAAAAGATCATCCAACAAGATAAAGCTTATATCAATCGATTTGTTAGATCTTCAAATGAGATTCCAAAAAAAACCATATGGTTGACGATCAAACTTTCGAGATAAACAAGTTTGAAAATGGCGATTTAATTAACACGGGGTCTTATGGGACGCGGTCTTTTATTGTTCATAACTAATTTAAAAGATCAACCATCTTAATAAAAAATATATTTTCTGAAAGAGAAAGTTACAAGCTTTCGATTGGTATGTTAAAAATTACCCCTTAACGAACTAACTAATGAGTAATTAACAAAATCATTGATTTCGAATAGTGCGAGCGATTGTCTGCCTAATGCGAGAAAGAGACAGACAGACGCCTCGCTGTACTATTGCTATGATTGCTGTAGAGCCACCTTAATCGCAGATATGAATGAAAAACATACCAGCGGATAGCTGAAATCCTCACCTTTCTAATGATTGAATTGAATATGCCTTTTAACGAGCTAATTAAAGAAATATTTAGCGTTAAAGATGAATTTAATCGTGATTTCGTCTGCAGCGGTGCAACCTAGATACGCTAAATTCATACTATTATTATCATCATCACTAAACTACCTCAAAGTATTTTATAATATCACGATAATACAATAAACAGTCTTATTTCTCGTTTCCATTCGTCGAAATTCCTCTCTCGCGTAAAAAGAATTCCGATCTTTGAAATTTCGCGCGCGAGTCGCATTAATAGTGCGCGGCGCGAAATCGGAGTCGCTCGCGCGCATGCGCGAACGTCGCCTGTCGCCCCGTTGCTGATGAAATTCGCGTGCTACAGCCTGCAACCAGGCGGACAGAAGCGTGGTACTTATTTTATCGTCTGCTATGCTCGTTATATACCTTCAACGTACGTGAGAGAGAGAGAGAGAGACATTATAGTCGCGACGACGATAAAAACTCTACTGCTGCGCGGCCTGCCGTTGTCTGTGTGTGGTCTGCGGGACAGCCACACGGTTTATATATTATAAGTATACGACACGCGGACAGCGAGAGAGATACATATAGTAGGTATTGGCACATACACACACGCACACTTCACACACGTGTGTAGAGTTTATAGCTATCTATCGCGTTCGTATATTATAGGCGCCGCGCGTCAAAAACTTCATACGGCAGCGGAGCGGACAGCGCGCGAGATATATCCCCCCGAGATTATAACACGCGCATCATATGTGTAGTCCATCTATCTATACATTATAAAAAGCGTAAAATCATCAAAGTGGGAGATTTAATATATATAGCCGAGCGCGAGGCGACGAGGAGAGGCCCGGCGCGCCGTTTTTCAGAGGTCACCTTCAACCAGACAGCAGCAGCAGCAGTACAATACATCTACATAGGTACTACTACTACTACTACTACGAAGCTCCGCGTCGTGTGTACGTGCGTGTGATAGTGGCTGTGGTGTGCTTCGCGACTAGCAGTAAGCAGCAGCAGCAGCATCCCACGCGAAGTAACAGAGGTTTATTCGTCGAGTAACCCTCGTCGACGATCAACCGGACGAACTTGACATCGCTCTCGTGCGTCTCGTCCACCAAGTTCCTTTTGTAATAATAATAGTAATAACAACGACTGTCGGTGCTCGTGTGCGTGCGTGTGTGACCCGGTGAGTTCTCCATTCGATACCATCATGGTCCGTCGTCGTTGGCACGCGCTCTCCAGCACGTTTTACGATCTATAATAATAAGTGTGTTGCGTCGTCGTTGTTGCCTTGATGCGCGATCGATTTTACTCGTCGACGTGTTGTGTCTATCGATTGTGTCACATCGATGCTACACTTCGCTTTTTCAAAGTAGTGCATGTGTGTTTTTGCGAAGTGATTTTGACATGTCGTCGTTGTCGTTGTCCTGCACCGACGATCGTTTAAAGGTCGACAGCAGCGTGCACACGCACGCGTGTGCGTCGTGGCCTCAACGCGCGTTAGTTTCGTAAATATAATTTGAAACCCCGAAAAAAAAAAAATAAAAATACGCGTGTAACGTCTTCATTGAGAGAGAGACGATGTGCGGAGGGCAGCGCGTGCTAGAGAGATGATCTTGGTATTCTTTTCTGCTTCGCCTCGACCCACTTCGAAACGCGGCTCTCTCGTCGTTCGAGAGAGAAAGAGACGGAGAGAGAGAGAGAGCGCGCGCGATCAGAGATAGACCTTGACATTGACTATATACACTGCTACTGTATGCTGTATGCTGTATGCTTATACCGTGTGTGCTCTGCCTGCACTGCTATATTATACAGATTACATGCTGTGCAAAAGTGCAGAGATATAACGGAGAAAATAATAATGACGATGATTGATGATGAACGTCTGTTTGAACTTACTCAATTTTTTTTTTTATTTGCTCTCTGTCTGAAGGTGCTCGCTGCTGATCGAGGAGGAGGCTTTTAAACTTGGTTTTTTGATATAACAAGCATCGTTGGCCCATCATCATCATCATGGACGAAGAAGGGGTGGCGCACAGATTCATCAAGCCCGGCAGCCACAGGGGCAAGGGACTGGCTGTGTTCACCAGCGGAGGAGACTCTCAGGGTTAGACCGCTTGAACTACATATCTCATGAGATTATTGCCATTTGTATTCGCAACTGTCAGTGATGAATTTTGATTGCTGACAGTTGATGAGAGCTAGATAGATTTGTTTTGCATGATGTAATCAACAAGTCTGAGTTTCTAGTCGAAAGCTCAAACGAATTGCCTCGTGCAGAAATATTTTTGAGATAATAAACATTTCTGACTGAAAAGAGCCAATGTCTAATGTCTTATGTAATTCGTGCAGGTATGAATGCAGCTGTCAGAGCAGTGGTACGCATGGGCATCTATCTAGGATGCAAAGTATTCTTCATCAGAGAAGGCTACCAAGGAATGGTAGACGGTGGAGACAACATTGTCGAGGCTAATTGGTCCTCGGTATCTTGCATCATCCATCGTGTAAGTTTGCTACCGTACTACTCAATCACTTCTTCAGATAAAGATCTCGAAAACAGCAGCAATTGCAGCAGACGTAATAAAAACGTTGCGCTGCGAAACTATTAAATCATTGTACTGTGTGCTTGTCTAAACGACGATAAATTAACATTTTATTATTATTTGTTTCTTCTGTGTATTGCAGGGTGGCACAGTGATCGGCTCCGCGCGATGCAAAGAATTCCGAGAGCGCGAGGGCAGAAAGAAGGCGGCCAAAAATCTCGTCATGCGCGGTATATCGAACCTGGTCGTGATCGGTGGCGACGGCTCGCTCACCGGTGCCAATCTTTTCCGCGAGGAATGGTCCGACCTCTTGAACGATTTGGTCAAAGACGGTAAGAGCCAGAGAGAGAGAGAGAGAGAGAGAGAGAGAGAGATAATATCGAGAACAAAGAGAAAAATCACTCGATTACTGCGTGTAATTCAGAGCAGAGCCTCGAGTCGTGCGATACGCGCGTATCGTTTATCGATCAGTCGATCGACGAATGTCTCCTCGGTGCGATTCTATAAATAAAACTTCTTTGCATTGCAGGTGCTATCACTCCTGAGCAGCGCGAGAAGTTCCAACATCTTCACATCGTCGGTATGGTCGGCTCGATCGATAACGATTTTTGCGGCACGGACATGACGATCGGTACCGACACGGCCCTGCACCGCATCATCGAGAGCATCGACGCCATCGTCAGCACGGCCTACTCGCATCAGCGCACCTTCATTATGGAGGTCATGGGCCGTCATTGCGGGTGAGGGAAAAAAAAGAGAGAGGAAGATTCTCGGAAATGATACGAAAACGAATATGTAGTATTAATGAGCGAGTGAAATCGATACGCGATATCGGGTTTCATTGGAGAACAAAATGAAAAATAGTTTAATCGACGATATCGATTTCATTCGATGATCATGATTCGAGTTATTATTTGTCATTTTTCATTCTTTTAATTTTTTTTTTCTTTTGTTTAATAATTTTTCGATTCTTCTTACGTTTCTGAACGATTGATAACACAATTGCGCGCGATGGAAGCAAAAGCAAAAAAAAACAAACAAAACAAAGAAAAAGAAAAACATGATTAATGCAAATGGAATGAAAAACAAAAATAGGTACCTGGCGATCGTCGGTGCATTAGCCGCCGAAGCGGACTACGTATTCTTCCCGGAATGTCCACCTCCCGTCGATTGGCCTGAGAAACTTTGCAAAAAGTTGGAGCAGGCATGTCTTATCTTACTTTCTACGAAAAACAACAACAACAACAAAAAAAAGCAACAATCACGATTTTTTTTTCTCTCATACTTGTAAAAGCTACTACGTCCGTTTTTTTCGTAATTTTATAACTTACTTGTATTGAATTGTCCTGCATTCGCAAAAATACTCCCCATTTTCTTGTACTATAAACGCTAATTATTTCCGAGTACAATAGCATAAACGGTAAGATATCTCACCCCTGTCTCACCCGATTTATTTTTCTGACTGTTGTGTATTTTTCGTATTGTATTATACTACATGTATATTAACTTGAAAATATCGCTAAAGAAAAGTTAGTTTGCTGCAATGGTCTTTTTTTGTCTCGGTGTTTTCGATGTGAAAAAACTTTTTTCTGAAATCAAAAAGCAAGTCATTGAGATGATAATTACGCCTATACTTTGCTGTGAATCATAGACTAGATACTTTTTTTTTCTCAAAGCTGCCACAACATTTTTGGAGTGCCTGTCTCTGTCCCCACCGCCCCTCTTAAATAATTATAACCGCTCGTAAAAAGAAAAACAAAATTAATCATGTTGTTATCATTTACATTCGTTCATTATTATTATTTTATGATTTTGTCAATCCTGTCTTACTATCGCAGTCAGGAGTATCGTTTTCATTATTATTACAATATTTTATAAGTCAGACCGTAGAGATTATTATTATTACTAAATTTTATCTGCTATATAATTTTTTTTATTTCTAAACTTAGCTTTAGCAGTAAAATTTTCATTCGAGAAAATCGATGAACGATTAATTTTATCCGATGGGTTGAAGGCGATACATAATTTTAGCGCTGTAAGAGCTCTCTGTGGGGTGATTTTTTTGTTTTTGTAATTTACACGAAAAATAAAACCGTTACAGCTACCTGGCTCTGGTGGCAGCTATCTGTAGCGAGGCCGACTATGTATTCATCCCGGAATGGCCTCCGGAGCAGGACTGGCCAAACAAAGTCTGCAAAAAATTGATTCAGGTTCGACCGTTAAAGAAAAAGTCAATGATTTTTTTTTTCTAATTTTTTTTTCTCTTTCTCTTTTACTTTTTTATAAAAAAAAAAAATATCCTACCTTTCAAAATGAACACAATTTCACGCTCATCATCCATTGTCCATCGTTTTTCCAATTCTCCCTGTATCATCGTCCAATTATTATTTTATTTTTTCGCATCTCTCTCTCTCTGTTATAATTGAATCATTATTATACGAATGGCTTACGATGTAACTTGAGCTATCACTGCAAAAGTATACATTTTTGCTTTTGTATTTGTGTTTGTTTTTTTTCTTCCGCCTATTCTCTCCCTATATACACCAACCCTTCTCAAACCCTCTTATATTTATCTTACTAATTATATCTTTCTTGATTTTTTTCTTTCTACTAATAATAACACGATCTAAGTGCCTGTAAGTGCTGATCATTTATAAGTGGAAAAACTCGACGCTACTCTGAGTCTCCATCTACGCGAATTAATTTAATTTTCTTATTTTTCTTCGATCAGGAACGTCTCACCGGACAGCGTCTGAACATCATCATCGTCGCCGAAGGGGCGGTCGACCGTAACGGCGACCCGATCACGGCCGAGAAGGTCAAGGAAGTCGTCGTGGAAAAACTCCAGCAGGACGCGAGAATCACCGTCCTCGGCCACGTGCAGAGAGGCGGCAATCCCTCGGCGTTCGATCGTGTCCTCGTAAGTACGAAAAATCAATCGAATCCAAAGTAAACGATAACCGACGTACGATTCGTTTTCATCGCAGGGTTGCCGTATGGGAGCCGAGGCAGTGATGGCTCTGGTGGAGGCCAAGCCCAATACCGAGGCCTGCGTCGTCACCCTGGACGGTAATCAGGCAGTGCGCCTGCCCCTCATGGAGTGCGTGAAGCGCACCAAGGCCGTGGCCCAGGCCATGGCCGACAAAAATTGGGATCTGGCCGTACAGCTCCGTGGAAAGTGAGTTTCGTCGCTGTAAAAAAAAAAAAAATTATGGTGGTTTCCTTACTTATATCTCGAATGTCGAATTACAGAGGATTCGTACGGAATTTGGAGACGTACAAAATGTTGACGCGCTTGAAGGCCCCAGCTGATCCAGCCCTAGGCCAGGTGAGGATAAAATTAAAATTGAAAAATACCGTCTTCGTTACAGGTTTAAGACACGAAAAAAAAGTAACTCTTGACAGACCGAATTATAATAGTTTAGATTAGGCATTGAACCTGTAAAAAAGCGAAATAAGTTGTGTGACACATTTATTGATAATATTATTACATTGTGTATAAATTTTGCTATGATTGCTACAGGCTGGAGGTCATCCCGTATTGACCAAGGTAAAAACAAAAATCCTTACGAGCATTGTTAATATATCAATTATCGTTTCTTTAACACTCGAACAAATATTTGATTTATTTTTATTCTTTTTACGTTCACTCTTTTCGATTTGTTCGATTTGTTCGTTTGAAAAAAAAGAATTTAATATAACGAGAAAAAGAAACGAACCAACACATATAGTTGAATCATGAGTACACTAATTCGTCGTATTTTTATGAATTATTTTTTTATGTCTATCTCTGTCACTTCCTACTCCCCCATGAAAAAAAAACTCACAGCAATACACAATGTGGGGACAAGTAAGTTTTTTTTGCGTTTGTATCGAACGACTACTACTCTCTGTTTTTTATGTCGATGTTTATTCTTAATTTTTTAGGCTGTTTCTTTTGTTAGAACAAGCAAAGCAAAATTGACAAATGTGTTCTTAACGCATATCGCTCCATCCATAACTATAGCCACATGTATATCTGTGTTCTCTATATTATCATATGTCTGTCGCAGAGTTATTATTATTTAAGCTTTGAAAAAAAATATTACATACAGGTCATCATTCGAATTCATACTAATGTTCTATGTGTTACTACTAGAAACCAAACTTTTAGTTTATCATGTTACGTCAGGCAGCATAAACGAAAAAAAAAAATGGTTCACCAGCCAATCACGACCTGTACCATAAGCCTATGTTAATAATCGTTTTTTATCTTATTACATATAGCTCTACCTGCACGCAGGCTTACAAAAAAAAAACCAATGATTATAAATAATTTTGTACATACATTACTTCAAGCACGTGTTCCGCTGCTTCAAATAATTTTTGCGAAATAACATCATCCTTCTTTCCGCTAATTCTCTTCGTTTTTTTCCATCGTTCCCCACGACCGACGCAGGATCACTACACCCTGGCCGTGATGCACGTCGGCTCGCCGTCCTGCGGCATGAACGCCGCCGTGCGCTCGTTCGTGCGCAACTGCATCTATCGCGGCGACAAGGTCTACGGCATCATGGACGGCGTGCTCGGCCTGGCCACGGGCAAGCTGAAGCTGATGGACTGGCCCTCGGTGGCGGGCTGGGTCAGCCAGGGTGGCGCCTATCTCGGCACCAAACGCGCACCGCCCAAGGACGAGCAGCTGCCCCAGATCGCGGCCAAGCTCAAGGAGTTCGGCATACAGGCCCTCCTCATCATCGGCGGCTTCGAGGGCTTCCAGACGGGCATGAGCTTTTACGGGGCGCGCGACAAGTACCCGGAGTTCCGCATACCCATCGCCATGATCCCGGCGACGATCAGCAACAACGTGCCCGGCACCGAGTTCTCGCTCGGCTGCGACACGGCTTTGAACGAGATCACGGAGATCTGCGACCGCATTCGTCAGTCGGCCCAGGGCACCAAGCGCCGAGTCTTCATCATCGAGACCATGGGCGGCTACTGCGGCTATCTGGCGACCCTCGCCGGCTTGGCCGGTGGCGCCGACGCCGCCTACATCTTCGAGGAGAAGTTCAACATCAAGGACCTCAACGCCGACATCATCGCCATGGCCGCGAAGATGTCGGAGGGCGTCCAACGCGGTCTGATACTGCGCAACGAGAACGCCAATCTCAACTACAACACCGAGTTCATGCAGCGGCTGTTCAGCGAGGAGGGCAAGGGTCTGTTCAGCTGTCGCATGAACATCATCGGCCACATGCAGCAGGGCGGCTCGCCCACGCCCTTCGATCGTAATCTCGGCACGAAGATGGGCTCCAAGGCCGTGGAGTGGTTCACCAACATACTGAAGCGCGACACGGGCGCCGACGGCAACTGCGTGTCCAACACGCCCGACAGCGCCGTGATGCTGGGCATCGTCAGGCGACAGTATCGCTACACGCCCTTCACCGATCTCATCGCGTCCACCGAGTTCGAGTGGGTGTCTTTTAACTCTTTTTTTTTTTTTTTTTTAATTGGAAGGTTTTTTGGTGATTCGCGTTACTTAATTTTTGATTAAATTTTTACAGGCACAGAATTCCCAATTACCAATGGTGGATGAAGCTGCGCCCGCTGCTCAAGGTATTGGCGAAGCACGACTCGACGTACGAGGAGGAGGGTCTCTACATCACCGTCGAGGAAATGGACAAGAACAACGACGCCCCTCTCGTCTAAGAAGGAGTTAGAGAAAAGTCCAAGAAGCAAAGAAAGAATCTCTTTTATGCATAACTGTAATCAATACACACCCCTATAGCCAGTATTCAGTTGATAGATACAGAAAAAAAAAAATTAACATCTGTCGTTTTTAATTTGTTAAATTAATCGTGGAGGGCTGGAAACTCCATTTTTTAGAAGAAGAAAAAATAAATAAATACCGATCCATTAGGTGAATTTTATGATTCGAGGCATACGTTTATCGTTGATCTTTTTTTTTGTTTTTTTTTTGTTTTTTGTTGTTGAGAGATGTATACGAAACGAATCGATCAAAAGTGTGTGCGATACAAGTATATTAGAAAACTTTTTAATAACAATGTTAAATGTAAAACTTTTCAAGTGTGATTAACAAAATGTGTTATTGTAAAGAAAGAAGAAAGAAAAAAAATCATATATTTTTATTAGTAAGCGCAGTTAACTTTTTTGTCGTTAGAATATAGGGTGCCATGCTCCTTTGTAATTGTATCGAGTAATGCTAATGTAAACGAGACGATTCAATTTCATCATCGCGATTGTCGATGCGATCGATGAGAATCGATGAGAAAAAATATTGTTTCAACCCCCCCCCCCAATGTACACAAACACACGCATTAACTTAGTGAAATTTTATTATTTGCCTGCGAGTCAGTCAAAAGAAAATAAAAGACAAATTTGTAAAAGTCCGCGTTAATAAATTACGTAGTTCATTGATTTTTCATCCAGCGTAGTAGTCTCACTTGCTACGAGAGAGAAAAAAAAGGCCAAACCCTCGTCGTAGAATAATAATAATACGACGTAGAGAGAAAGAGTAATCGATCGCGATTATATCGACTCATTTCAACGGCTGGTTACCGAGAGAGGCGATCCGTGAAAATTGACGTAAAATTCACGAAGAGTCGTGTGGCGTCGCGATCTGCATTACAATTAGAAAAATTTTACGCCGCTAAAAATAAATTGAAGATAGTAGTCAAATTAAAAAAAAAAAAAAGTATCGAGATTTTTATTCCTCGATATCGCGCTTATATTGTCACTTAATGAATAATCACTGCGGAATATGTTCCATATATAATAATTGATATGCCTGCGTTGAGAGAATGCGAAGAGATGTAGAGAGACGATGAAACAAAGTGAGCTTGAGAGAAAGGAGTTAGTAAAAATATATGATAATAAAACGAAGTGTCTCGAGATGTTTTAACAGCAAAACCAACCGTAATTGTTGTGTTCATTGTACCAACACATACAATAAATAATCGTAAATAAAGTCTCGAATATCAATTTTTTGATGATCAAATAAATATATGTAAAGATGTATTTTCTTATAACCGAACATTTTGTGATAAGAGGCACAAGAGTTTCAAAAACAAACGCTAACGCTTCGGGCTTTTTATTTTTCCATCGACGACAAAATCGACGTCGATAGAGGAGTATATAATGAAAAAAAAAAAAAAAAAACACAACAACGGAGCTGTTGTGTGTAATACCAGGTGCATTACGTAAAAGGTGCAGCTACACAGAGAGAGCCGCGCGCGATAATCGCTATCGCGTGCGCGATTCCACGCGATCAAACAAATACACACACGCCCAGCGGCATCGGCAGCGTCAATATGCAATTTGATTCAATTACACGTATACGTATAAATAAAACAATTCCATCGAAACGAGAAAAAAAGACGAAGAAAAGTGCGATTTATTCGGTTGCGTGTAATGACGAATCTACGAGACGCGTAATACACGCGGTACACGAGTAAATGGATGATATTTTTTTGTCGAGATGAAAAATTTAGCCTCGTTGTTGGAAAAAAATGCAAAACACTTATACAAATGAATGAAAATATTATAAATTAAAAAAAAAAAAAATATGTTGAATATCGTATCGTGCTATATGACTACATTGATAATTAAATAAAAATTATATCTTGTAAGAACACTGCGAGTCTCGACTTTAAGTTCTTCCCTTCCATTCCTACATTCTTTAGTTCCGTATTATAAAACATGTAAATCCAGGCTCTCTAAGAATCGAGAGAGAGAGAGAGAGACTGGAATCTCGCTCTCGCTCGCTACGGAGCATAAACATAATGAATTATTTAGCCGCGACGAGAAGGCAGCAGAAATTTTCTTTTCTCTCGTATACTTCTTTCTCTACCCCCCTACAAAGTCCATTAAGGAGCATCGTTGAATATATTCGCGTCGCAACTGACCGAATTAAAATTCCGCGTAGTTGCTTAGCTGCAAGCCCTCCGCTCCCTGTATACATTTATATATGTATATAAAATATACGGCGCTGTGCGTGCGTGGAACAGTTTAAGTGGTCGACGTCAGTCTGCAGTCGGACGTCGTGTCAGGATGTATGTATACATAATAACGTAATACCCACGGCTGCACACACACGCAATTGTGCCGTCGTGTCTTTTAGCTTCTTTTCTTTTTTTTAAAGGGGCTGGGCTGGTGGTGGTTAAGCTAGCTCTAAGACAAGAAGAAGGAAGCGCGGCGTACGTATAAAAAATACAAAACGAAACAGAAAAAAAAGAAAGAAAAGGGAAAAAAGATTGAATACGCGCGCGGGTGCGAGCTGCTGCTCTCGCTCTCTTACATGCATTCGACATGAAAAAAAAAAAGAAATACGGGAACAGGGAAGAAAGTGCGCACGAGAGAGAGAAAAAGGGGTTGAGATGAGATGAGAGAGAGCGAGAGAAAGAGTACACGGTCGTAAATTCAAGGGTAAAGGGTTGCGTCGACGACGACGAGACGAGGGTCAGGTGTATATTTTTCATTCTCCCCCCTGTGCGCACACACATGTAGTATAATAACTACACGCACGCACACACCTACTTTCTCGCTATTTCCTACTTCCTCCCGTTTCTTATGTACCGTACATCATCGAGGTGTATATTATAACGATGCGAGATATACGCACCCTCTCTCATCGTCATCGAACGATGATCTTCCGTTCGGCTTAACTGTGTACATCGACAAATCGACGAATAAATAACTACGAGGGGAGTAGTAGCTTCGGAGGGGGGGGNGGGGGGGGGGGGGGGGTGAAATTATATTCGCGACAAATCGGAAATACGGTTCGAACGAAAAGCAAGCTACGATATCCATTGGGTCCGCGAAAATCGTCAATCAGAATTCCAGTCTCAATAATATTGTCACACGCACACACGCATGCTATATCCTGAGAGAGAGAAAAGGACATTATATACATATACATATGGAAGACTCAGGGGCCGCCGCGCATACCAGGGGCGTGGTACACACTACTACTATACACAGAGAGTCGTGTGCGACTGCCTCGCGGGCTTGCGCAGGAGATGGGTATATAAGAGCGAGAGCAAGAGAGAGAGAGAGAGAAAGTATATAGGCGCTGCACACCCTCCAAGTTACTTGTGTGTCCGTGTAGTAGTGTACTGCATGCGACTATACTACTGCTGGGGGGGAGCTTTTATCGTGTGCGAGTGTATGTATGCGCGTTGGTATCGTACGCGAGAGAGCGAGAGAGCTAGAATGCGACCCGGCCGCTGCTGCTGCTGCACCGCCACCGCTGCAGCACACACACTTGCTTGTGTATGTGTGTAAATGTGTGCGCGCACGCAGTAGCCAGCCAGCCAGCAGCAGAAGTAGTAGAAAGTTTATAGTAATATAGGGATAGTATAGTAAAGCCAGTGGCATTGCTGCTGCCTCGCGCGAAGCACACGCGCTCTTGTATCCTACGGTATATATCGTAGTGTGTATAATATAAGCGCCTGGCGCGCGCGAAAGAATAAAAAGAGAAAGAAAAGGAAACCGAGTCTTTGAACGCGTGGACGTGCTGCACACGTACATTTCTAATTTGTGTATAGTAAATCGTATTTAATGACTCCATCGATCGTTATTATCATGTAAGGATGATACAGTGGCTATAGTGCAGCGATCGACCCGTGCGTAATCGTTAAGTTTGTTTTCGAAAATATTACAATTAATTTAATGTATAATATAATTTAAGAAAGGAGGTAGAGAAAAAATTTACATCATTCGTCGGTCCACACACGTGTGCGACAAGATTCGTCGTCGGTGTGCTGCACACACGATCACGCAGCGATGCAGATAGTGTCATTGTGCTCGAGTGATTTCGTGCTCCGCGTGAAGGTTTGGTTCGGAAGAGGTGAGTGATTAATATTCGAGGTGAAGGAAGAGCTCGTTCGTTGACCGAGCATTGGAAAAAAAGAAATATTTGGATAAAAGTGAGATTTTCGAAGGAGCGAGTCAACGACGACAAAGTAACGAGCGAAAATCGGAGTAAATAAAAAATGAACGCCACGCCAAAGGATATGGAGAGTAAGTACATGCATTTGTACATTCCTTCTCCTTCCGATCTCTCTCTTTCCCTCGTATCTCTCTCCGTGCAGTCCGCAATCCTCTCTGCTACATACGATTCTCGAAAGACGTCATAGGTGTAAAAAAGAATAACAAAAAAAAAGAAGAAGAAAGCTATCCAAAGCTCTCGCAACGACTACGCGACAACGATGACGACGATCATCGTGTAGGTCGCGCGTAAAATAAAATCCTTCTCTCCTTCGTGTGTGCATCCAGCAGCAGCAGCAGCACACTTCCTTACAACGACGAGTATATACGTGTACATGTGCGTGTGCAAGCTCCTGTGTATACGTGCGTTATGTTTCCTTTTTTTTTTTCTTTATTTCACCTCCCTCTCGCGTTTTTACCCTTCGTCGTCGTCGTCGTCGTCGTCGTTGACGTCGGCGGCGGCGAACGGCTCGCCGCTATATATACAGCAGCAGTACTGCTACTACTGTGTTACTGCTGACGAAAAGGTCAAGATTGTGCATTGTCTTTGTTTATACAAGCTCTATACTCGCTACCGTTGGTGAACCTGCACACAGAGCCTGCAGCAAAAGCTCTCCTGACCGTCGTCGTCGTCAGGCTCTTTAAGCTCTCTCTCTCTCTGTCTCTCGCGCTAGAGTTTTTTTTCTCTCTCTCTCTTTTTCGTACGTATGTATATAGTACGGCATAGCCCGTGACTGCTGCTGCAACGCTGTATGTGTGCGACGGAGAGAGGCGCGCGCGAGAGAGAGAGTGAGCTTGCGGATAGTAGGTCACCACGCACACATGCGTAGAGAGGTACGAACGCTCGCACACACACACATAGATATTTTACACTAATGTGTGTGCATGCAGAGCCAGTATAAGAGAGAGAGAGATCGTCTCGTGTCGCGCTGGTACATAAAGGTATTATTATACATGTATATACGTGTGCGAGAGCCGCGAAGCAAATTTTCGCAAGAGTTCCTCGAGCTTTTTTCATGCTTATATGTATACTTGTGGCTCGAGCTTTCTCTCTCTCTCGTGGTTGATGCGCTGCAGCTGCCTGCAGTGTACGAAGCGAAACGAGATTAATTGATTATATATACTTTTATATACATCGTATACGTACATGCCGATACGTACCCTCGAGTAGCGATAGACATTGGCATTGATGATCGACCATTGCACATTGACATACATATACTGGAGTGAGAGAGAGATACGTTGGAGAGATTGTGTGTCGATTGCGCCGCTCTCTCTGCCTCTCGTCGTTTGCGAATAGTGCATACGTAGCTTGCAGTAACACAGCAACGACGACGATGGCTTACACTTACACACATACATGCATATATGTAGCTAGCTCGCGGTGTGTGTGTATATTATAATCGAAGGCCGCCGCAAGCTCGCGGAGCACTTGATATTAAAAACGCGGCAGCGAGAGCAATTTTACCCTTTTTTCTCTCTCTCTATACTTTTTTTTTTATTCATTCGTGTACCTGCGAGCAATTTTTATGTACAAAAAGTCAAGAGTACGTACGTATTTATACCTGATGGGAGGCAGTGCTGCAGCGCGCACACACACACACAAATATACAAATAGCTCTCGCGAGCGAGTTTTTTTTTCCTTTTCTGTTTTCTGCTTTTTTGTTGTTGTTGTATGTTTGTGTGTGTGTGTGTATATGTGTATTCAGTAGCAATTGCCATTTTCAACTGCGGGTATATAAGAATAAAATATCAGTATCATTTATAACGGAGAGAGATACGCGTATCCTAGAGCTATATTACACCGAGAGCTCGAACGCGTACAACACATAGAGAGAGAGAGAGAGAGAGAGAATACGATAGATAAAAAAAATAGAAGTAGAAGAAGAAGAAGAAGAAGAAGAAGGGAAAAATTATCAACGAGAGAAAAGGAGATAGATAGTCGCTGTTGTATTATATAGCGCGCGGAGCTTGCGAGCTTGCACGATGCACAATATCATATCCTATAGCTTGTATACGGGTATAACACGGGTATTTTTCATTGCTTTCCAATATTCGCGAGCAGTGGCGGCGGCGGCGGCGGTGGCGACATAAAGACAGGCGCGAGAGAGCTTTAATACATACACACACGGAGGTAGACATAAATTTTACTCCCGCGAATTATTATTATTTTCATTTTTCCCCTTTCCTTCCCGTTGCCCCGTGTAAATGATGTATATTTCGCTCTCTCTCTCTCGTTCTGGAGCGCGCGATGAAATAAATCGTCTTTATACTTTATATGGTCGAATCGTGATTTACCGAAATTTTTCTTATTAATATAGTTACGACCCGGTGTAACCTCTTGACTATATATATGTAGTCTCTCGTGTGCATCTGGAAAAGTACCACCGGCGAAGATAAATAAATAAAAAAATAAATTTAAAGTACTTACTCGTGTATACACTCGTGGGGGCCAGAGCAATTCGAGAGTCTTTTACGATTCTTTGCCATTTGGGAAATAGGTAAAGAGGAGAGAGAGAGAGAGAGCCCGAGTTGGATCGTAAAATGCCTCGATTCGTGTATGTATGTGCATCGTCTCGGTTGGAAAGGTTTTCATAATTAATTTTTATTTTCTATTTCTTCTTCCTTTTTCGAGCTTATTTTTCTTTTGAAAAAAGCGCATTCGCGCTCGTTACTTCCGTAGTTTCGAGATTACCAAAATGAAGAAGAAAAAAAACAACCAACAAAAAACGAACGAGCAGAAGGAGGATTAAGCCCTAGATGCTACTCTCGAAGAAGAGAGGGAGAGAGGGTCTTTAATATCCTCCGTGCTCAAGATTAAAGTGTACACAGGTCGAAAAAAAAGAAAGAAAGCTTACCCGAGAGTGAGGAAAAAAAAAATTCGACCTCTCTCTCCTCCACCCGTCATATCTATACAGCCTCGCGCGCGGGTGTCCGATGCAGCTGCTGTGTACCCCCGGTTATCATCGTCTCGCGTTCGGTCAACGACGTTAAAAAACTTTTCGTCGCCGCTGTTGTTGTTTTGTTTTGACCTTTTTTTACGGGGACGGGCGTTATTATATAAGTTCTCTCTTGACGTCGAGTGCAGCAGTACGCGTTAAGACGCGACGACAACGACAACGACGCTTAAAAAGAAATTAAAAAAAAAATAAATAAATAAATAAAAAGAAAGAAGCATCGACTCGGCAAATGTTATTACATTGAACAGGAGCTGTCTCGTCGAGCCTGTATCTTCATCGTATTGTCACGGGCACGGCTACGGCCGATACGATATTCATACATCGACGTATACTCGTCTATTTATCGATCGTTTCCCCGGAGGGTAAAAAAAAAAACGCATCGAGGAAGAAGGCGACGACTGCCACAGCTACACAGGAGGAAAAGTATAATACGTCGATGATAAAAAAATGAAAAAAAAAAAAATCGAAGAGGTGCACGGCTGTACGTGTATGCACTTTGCGGCAGTTTGCATACGCGATGTACAACATCAAGCTCGATTGATTACGTACTCGCGCGCGCGCTTCTGCAAAATTACACGCGCCCGAGCCCTTTAAAAAATTCATCCGTCGATTTTGCCGTCCGATGAAGTAACGTGTATATAAACACATATATAGATACGCGAACACGTACATTATTATTTCGAACGAGAGCTTTTATATACAGAGAGATGAAAATCTCTCTCTATACTTGTGTGTGCGACTTTGCGCACGTCACACGTGCCGTAATAGGTCAGTGGACGCAGCAGCAGTGGCACACCTCTTTAAATCAGGTATTAAGCTCTCTCTCCCTCTGTCTTCTATATTCGTCATCGTGCCACACGCCGTGTACATATATAATAATACCGGGTGCAGTGCACGAAAAGTAGAGCCAGCTCCGCCCGAGTCGCACCGTTGGCTTCGCTCGCTTCGAGCTTGCGATATTTATATATTCAGTGATATATGTGCGCGCATGACTCCGTTATGCTTTGTTTCTTCTTTGTTTTTTTTTTAATTTTCTTTTCATCGTATACATATATTTTTTTCCTCGAAAGGCCAACTTGCGTGGATTATTAAATATGTATATCGTATCCGTCGTGTTTTGCGGCGGAATAAATATTCCGCGTGTATATATATATTCTATTGTGTTGTTGTTGGTGGTGTGTGTATTGCGAACGAACAACAACAACAAAAGCGAGGGAATTCGAAATATGACTCCGGGGGCTAGCTCTCGCTGGAGGGGTCATCGTACTCCAACAACTATACACACGAGATCTCTTGCTCGTTCGGGCCGCTTTTTTTTCTCTCTCCCGTATCGAATATCGTTTTGCGCTTATTCATATATATGCACGAAAAAAAGCACAAATGTACGTGTATGTGTGTATCGTAACGTGGCTATACCAAAAAATTGGCATTGCTGCTGCTGCCGTTACGCTCGAATCAAGAATCATTTTATGCGAATACGGCGCATATCGATCAGCGATATGTGCGATCGATATACTTCTCGCTCACGAGCCAGATCGGAGCTAGAGCAAAAAAAAAAGCTCGTCGTCTTTCGTTCGGCTCGAGGCTTACGTAAAGTTCGATCGACCAAGCCTATACGTCGTTATACATCGTTCGAAAATGTCACTTCGCTTCGCCGTCTGCAGCGATTACCTTCTACGTCGACGTGGTCTTTTTTTTTTTATTTTCTTTTTATTCTTCCCTCTCGAGGTACTACGTCGAGAGGCTCGCTCGCAGCCGTGAAAAGAACCAATCACCACTGGATAATCTCACTTTATAGCCCAAACTCTATATAGCGGGGGCCACGGCTCGAAGTCTTGCACACCCGGTGTCTGCAACACCAACTACTACTACTACTAAAAAAAAAAAAAGATCGAAGTAAGGACGAGAAGTATAGTAGGCGAAAAAACCTGCGAGCTTGTGTGTGTGTGTGTGTGTGTGTGTGTGTGTGCACGGAGCATCGTCCAAAGCGTTATATTACAGCGGCGTCTAGACGTCTGAACTTTTACCCCGCTGCTATATAGTATATACGCGAGCATAAAAAACGAATTTATATCAGGAAGTAGCTGCTACTGCTGCTGCTGCTGCAACATTAATATATACATACGTAGGTGTATACGTATGTAAGCCTTTTTGCTCGTTGATTTTCGTTACACTACTGTACTGCTGCCGTCGACACACCGCGCCATAAATTCGTGTTTGTCCGCGCGCGCCCTATCCCTCGTTCGGCTTCGGCCAGGCGCAGCTATATATATGGCCGATTCTCTGTGAAATCGATTGGTCAAAAAAATTTTTTTTCTGCAAATATGAAAAACTTGTTGTATTTGATGTCAGAAATGTCCCCAAATTTTATTAGAATTTTTGGGGCCTTCTATGACACTTTTTCAGAGGCCCAAAGTTGGCCATTTTAGGGTTTTTTTGAAATTCATGAAAAATCACAAATATTAAAATAATTCCTGGATTAAAGTAGAATGATTCAAAAGTAAAAGTGCCCAGCAACTTTTTTGTTGGAAATTGTCCAAATTTTCAGAAAAAAAATATGCCAAAGTGATTGGAACAATCTAGGTAAATGTAAAGCAAAAAAACTGCAAAAAAAACATAAAACAAGAAATCTACTCGAGTTCGAACCGGACTTTCATTTCCTAAACTATGTAAAAAGCTTCCCAAAGATGTCAACTAATGCCTGATAAAGTTTTGTAATGGGTCTTAAAGTTTAACGCAATGTAGACAACAATGTGTGGCGAAAAACATGCAAAAAAGGTCAAAAATAGGCCCAAAATGCCTAAAATCACCAAAAACAGCCATTTTCAGGCCTTTTTTGCATGTTTTTCGCCACACATTGTTGTCTACATTGCGTTAAACTTTAAGACCCATTACAAAACTTTATCAGGCATTAGTTGACATCTTTGGGAAGCTTTTTACATAGTTTAGGAAATGAAAGTCCGGTTCGAACTCGAGTAGATTTCTTGTTTTATGTTTTTTTTTTATGTTTTCCCACTATTATGTATTTAGGTGGCTCCAATCACTTTGGCATATTTTTTTTCTGAAAATTTGGACAATTTCCAACAAAAAAGTTGCTGGGCACTTTTACTTTTGAATCATTCTACTTTAATCCAGGAATTATTTTAATATTTGTGATTTTTCATGAATTTCAAAAAAACCCTAAAATGGCCAACTTTGGGCCTCTGAAAAAGTGTCATAGAAGGCCCCAAAAATTCTAATAAAATTTGGGGACATTTCTGACATCAAATACAACAAGTTTTTCATATTTGCAGAAAAAAAATTTTTTTGACCAATCGATTTCACAGAGAATCGGCCATATGTACCTACTGTGTACACGTACAGCGTACAAAGAAAAGGACAAACCCAACCCTTTTGTGCCGTCGTTCGAACGCGCGTTTAGACGCGTAAAATCATAACGCGCGTGTGTGTACCGTACGTGCCCGGCGGAGCTACTTTATGTATCGCGCTCTGCGTACTATATATCGGCGAGCTTTTATTCATTTTACTCGTTTTTCTTCTCTATACTTTTTTTTCCCCCCCGTGCACGGAAGCTCCCTTTTCCTGAGCGCGTATACACAAACACACACAGGGACGAAGTATGTACGCGTCTCTATATTATCTCATACGGCGTGTATGGCGTTATGGGCATTCGCCGCCCCCGCACATGTATGTTGTATACACATACACGACGCGAGAAAAGGGGTGAAGCAGAAACAGAGATAGTACTGTACCGCGACTGCCGAGCGGCGGTGCAAATCGATCGCGAATGCGTAGCGCGAGACTCGGACTCGTGTATATATAGATACGTATGTAACAAATTTGTACGTACGGAATTGAATATTTTGTACGTACGTATCGTGCTTCGAGTGATTCTCGAGCAGCCGTCAATAGCAGCAGCAGCACAGGTGGCGTGTATACATGCAAAATTGTTTCATAAAAAGCGCGCGGCGCGAAATTGATTTCCTCTTTATACGTCGTGTTTTTGCTTTTTTTTATCACTCGAGGCGCGTAAAAAAAAAAAAAATAACGCGATATAATGATAAATCGTATACATTTTAACGCGTTTACAATGGGCCAATTATCGATTAACGCTCGCGTCGTGCCGCACGATCGTTATTCCTGTTTTTTTTTTATATTCCGTATACCACGCGCGAAATAATAAAAAATTTGCATATCAACCCGTGCGCGCCGATAATTATCGGCTATATATAAACAACGAGAACGTGCGCGCGCTCGTTCGTAAAAAATGAAATAAAAAAAATGAAAATAAAAATTGACGCGCGTCACGCTCGACTTGGCCATCGTTGCTGCCGCTGGAAAAGTATAAAAAATTACATGTTTACACGGCGGTGGAGTTTGTCGAAGAAGCAAAAAGAAAAAGAAGAAGAAGAAGCGCAAAAAGAAATTTAAAAAAGTTACTCTCGCGCGCGCAAAAACGCGGAAGGTCAACAACCTCCTACGAGAAGCGAGCTTTCGCGCGCATTTCAGCCCATTTCCTCATTCAAAGCTTGCCCGCGCGCGTGTGTGTGTGCGAGAGAGAGAGAGAGAGAGAGAGAGTAATGTACATCACTCGCGCGAGCTCCGGAACACACGCGCTCTCGGGCTGCCGCTTTTTTCTTCTTCTTCTTCTTTATCGTCATCATACCCAAGACGTTCACTTGGCAGCTCGTTCGCGCGCGCGTTCGTCTTTTTTTTTCCACCTCCCCTCTCTTTCTTCCTCTATCTTCTTTTTTTTTTTTTTTTTTCTAACGGCTATATATACCCTCGAGTCTAATCGGGGTGAAGATGCCCCTTGACATCATCCGCTGTCATCTCATACTCTCTCTCTCGAGATACATATACTACTTCGTCGCCTCGACCGTATCTCTCACTCTCTCTCTTTATGTGTCTCTTGTATTATATACTATATATAACGAGCGGCTCAATTCATTCGCTGAATAGACGAAAATTACCCCTCCTTACGCTCTTACTTTACTGCCGCGAGAGGCAGAGATCTTCCGCACGAGCGAGTATAATAACAGCTAATTTTCTACTTATTTTTTCGCGATAAAACAAAAATAAAGACAAAAAAAAAGAATAAACGAAAAAAAGCATCGATGCTCTTCTGCTTGCCGCGGGGTTCGTATATACGCCGCTTCGCGCTTAGAACAAAAGCGTTCGACATTCCTCGCAAACAGATTTACTATCGCGCGCATACACATGCACACACACACGCGCGGCGGATTTGTATCGGCTCGGAGCTACTTCACTCGCGATCCCTATTGTTTTTTGCTCTCTTTCTCTCGGCTCGAGAACGTGAAGAGCGAGAGTCCTCTCGTCAAAAATTAACGTCTCTGTATCTCTCTCGCGGCGCAAAAAAAAACAACACACACAGACACACGCGGGGTGGTACAGAGGATGAGTATTATCGCTTTTGGATATACGGCAGTTATATGCACACACACACAAGTAAGAAGAAGAAGACTATAGAGATCGTTAAAAGCAATTTTTCGCGTTCCTCTAGATATACCTATACAGATACCAACGGCGCAGCGAAAGAGTCATTGTGCTCTATCATGTACCACTATATACACACGTGCGGCAGCTGAAAAACTGGCTCTCGTCGTCGTCATTTATTGTTTTTCTCTCGCGCCCTCTCCCTCCCTCTCTCTCTCTCTTCAAAAGCTCGGCAATTTTTCTCCTTCCGCTTCTTTTGCCCAAGTGTGTCCGTGTGTCTATACGTACGTGTACGATATACGTATACATGTGGGTGTTTTCTTCTTCTCTCTCTCTCTTTTTTTTTTTTTTTCATATACTTACTCACGTGCACACACGTGCTCGTACTTTCTCATTGTTAGCTTTTTGTAGCTTTTAAATTGCTCTCATTTCTTCTTTTCTTTTATTTCTCTTTCTCTCTCTCTCTCTCTATATCTCCATAATCATCGTCGTCGCGACGTTTTTCCCTCGTTTCTATCATTTTTCTTCTATTTTTTTTTCTCTCTCTCTCTCCGCTAGTAGCAGTAGCAGCTGTGCTGAAAACTCTTCCAGGCCGAAGAGAGAGTAGACAGGTATCAATGTAATGGTCCAGTCATGCTCTACTTACACTCGAGCCAAAGTAAAAAAAAAAAACATAGTCGTGTTCCTCTTCCTTCCTTTTGCATTTCCTCATTAAAATACGAAATTCTAGGTAACTCATCGATTTTCCGAAATTCCAAATAAATATTTTCCTCGATTATCATCGTTGCAATCGTTTATCCAAACGTTGCCTCATCGTTGCTCTTTTTTTCTATTCTTTCAGATCACGGATTGCGATAGTATCCGTAAGCGTGCGAAAGGCGGATCGACAAGCGAAATATATATAATGCCTGACAACGATCGCCCATCATCGTCACTACTACTACTATTGCAACAGCAGCAACGACTACTGCGTCGTTATCCGGGTTGCGATCGTCGTCGTCGTTGTCAGCGTCGTCGCGCGCGCCAGGACGACGCGCTTCTCAGCGGCGAGGTTCCCGTCGTCGTCGTCGTCGACCATCGTCGCGATAATCGCTCTCTTATGGGAGACGTAGAGGAGGAGCTTGAGCTTGAGCAGCAGCAGCAGAGATATGAGCAGAAGCAGCCGCTCAGCGGGTCGTCGCCGTGATGACTGACTTACAAGCCACGCTCGAGTTCTCTCTCGAGCTCTGTAAATTTTACAATGTCGATCTCTTTCAGCGCGGGTAAGTTTTGGAAGGAAAGAAGGCAAAAAAAAAACTACCTCCGCTTCTCGTGCTATCGCCTCGAGCCCCTTTGCGCTCTCGATTCGCGCGACGCGCTGCTGCGGTCGTGCAAACACAGCACACCCACACACACACACCCACACACTAACACACACACACACACGTATTATATTATATATTTTAAGATTCAAGGTACGCGCGAGCGAGCTCAAGTTTGAAAACTCCCGCTAGAAGTTTCTGTTCTATATACGTAAAATAAACTTCGAGTACGGAATAAAAAAAAAAAAATAAGTAAAGTTTGAAAATTCACCCGTACCTAGTAGTACACCTCGAGCATAATATCGAGGTGAAAATCAGCGAGGCGTTAAACGAACGCGTCAATTATAAGTAAAAAGTAGTGTGTTTTATACATATATAACGCCTTTTGACGCGCGTGAACTCGAGCGCGATCGCTCGCGCGAACGTATATATATTAATAGCGGAATTTCATGTTTATATATTTATTATTAAAATATCGCACGAATGCAGGTACTATCAGATCAGAACGTCGCTCGGGGTCTCGCCCAAGCTGCCCATCAAAGTCGAGGTCAATCAGCTGCGCGGCAGTGAGTATTTACTATTTATTTTCTACCCGCACAAAAGCTCGCTTCTTTTCATATTTTTTTTTTCATGTACAGGCTCGAGCCACCACGACGCCCCGGGCACCTCGAAGCGCTTCCAGATACTCTACCGCAACGAGGAGGTGACCCTCGGCACGTCGGTGCTCTATCGGGCCCACGTGCTCGTGCACGGCCACAAGATCGAGGAGGCGCTGGCCCGGGCGCGATTCCATCTCTCGGTGGAGCTGTGGTTCGGCGAGCCCGCGCCGGGTGGTCCGGGGGCGACGACCGGTGGTTCGTCGTCGTTGTCGTCGTCGTCGTCGTCGCATCATCATCAACAGCACCAACACCATCACCAGCAGCCCACGAGCATGGCGTGCGTGTCGTCGCGAGCCCTCGAGCTGAACTTCGTGCCGACCAAGGGACTGCACTATCATCTGCCGGTGCTGTTCGATTACTTTCATCTGGCGGCGGTGTCGATGACGATTCATTGCTGCCTCGTGGCGCTGCATCAGCCGAGCATCAAGTAAGTATTTTCACGACTTTGGGTTACTTGCCCCGAAAATTCAGATTTCACTCGTGCGAACGAACAAAAGTGGAATTTGGCGAGTTTTAGATTTTCAAATGTAATTTTGAAACTTGGAGAGCATAGCGGTATAGAATTCGTTATTTCATACCCAACTGTACGAAGTTTAGCTCATTAAAATCCGATGTAACATTCCAAAATTACGTAGAGCATACCTCGTATTTTATCAAATCTCATTATTATTGTTATCATTATTATAATTTATATTACAAAAGCGTTTAGAGCTACTTCTCTCTAGTTGCGAACAAAGTGAAGATCTTGAACGGTACTATAATATTCACGAGTAATAAGTCTTTAAAAATCCAAGAGAACGACTGGATCACTCACGCTCGGATGTAATTCTGGGTATTTTCGCACGAGTACTTTTGAATGTCCTTAACTTTGCTTCCGAACTTTTGAAAATGGTATAAATAAATTTAGGAAGCAAAGCGATGTCGTAATGGAAATGCTAATTAATTTGTAGAACCCGTTACGAATATCTTTGGTACTAATGAAGTAATTGTCAATCCATGAGTGTGAGAGATTTTGCCATTTGATATAAATATTTACCAGTCGACACGAATCGTCAAAAACTTATTCTCTTTATTTCTTTTTCATCGCGCAGAAAGAGTATTCTTCATTATGTGCAAAGCTGGTACGTACCAAATTAATTTTCCAATAATAAATGAAATAAAGTATAGTAAATAATCGTTTCGACGTGTTGATACAGCGCTCCACGAAGCGGCCGCGGCCGAGCCCAGGGCAAATCGCTCAACGACGAAAATATATTCAAAAACATCGTAAGTACACCCACATCGTCATCGCTATTAAAAAAAGTCAAATACTTACAATGCTCGTTTCTTGATTTTTCAGGACTCCTCCGCGACGACCCGCTGCGTCGGCTCGGCGTCCTCGCGCCTGCAAACGGCCAAGCTCGCCCAGCAAGAGGTCACCCGTCTCCTCCTCGCCGCGCGCGAGTCCCTCCTCACCGACCTGGCCGACATGGCCCGCCTGCTGCCCTCGTGGCAGCAGCGCGCCCTCGAGCTCGCCCAGAACACCCACAAGGAGATCACGCGCATGATCGACCCCGAGGAGGCCGACGTAGCCCAGCTCTGCGCCCAGAACATCGTCCTCTGGGAGCACTTCCTCGAGGCGTTCTCGGGCCGCGACGCCGTCCATCAGCATCTCGGCCGCGTCCACCATCGGCTGCGCGTGCGTCGCTTCGCCGAGGGCTTCTTCCTGTGCGAGAATCCGCGGAGCTCGGCGGCGGGCTGCTACGACGCCATCAATCAGTCGTATCAGGCGGTGAGCGAGGCGGCCCGCCGCTCCCGCTACCTGGCCAGCATGCCCAATCTGCCGGTGCACTGCGCCGAGCTCGACGGCGAGCTCGCCACGCTGCCGCTCATCTTCGAGGATCGCTACGCCGATCCGAGCCAGCTGGCCAGACGCGAGCATCGCAACAGCGCGTCGAGCATCTGGTCGCCCCGTTCCGAGGGCAATGGCAGCGGCAGCCTGGGCTATCCGGATAGGTTGATGCTGACGTCCTCCGGTGGCGGTCATCATCACTACGTGAACAATCTGCCGGCGGCGGCGCGACACAGCAAGTCGCTGGACCAGCTGGGACCGGACCTGGTGACGTCGCATCAGCCGCCCAGCAGTGGCACGATGATGCAGATGCAGGACGCTGGAGGTGGCTACGACTCGCCGAGGCAGCAGCAGCGACGACTGCCCAGGAGCGCCTCGACTCACATGCTGGGTATGACCAATCACAGTAACAGTGGAAAGCAGCAGCAGCAGCAGCCGAGGTCACCCGCGTCGAGGGTAGCCACAATGCCGACTAACAAAAAGCAGCAGAATCACAGCAACAGGTCGAGCTGCCAGAACGTCTTCGCGCAGAACGGCCACGGCAAACGATCGACCGGTTGCTTCGGCGGCGGTTCGACCCTACCCCGAGCCAAGTCGAGCCAGCATCTCGTCCAGAGCAGCAGCAGCGGCAGCAGCAACGGCACGAGCAGCGGCGGCAACAACTGCAACGGCAGCCGCAAATTGAGTCGCGGCCCCGACGGTGGACAGTCGCGCTCCATCACCTCTCTGCTGGCCGCCATGTTCCCGGACGGCGACGAGCAGCTGCCCGGCTACGTGGGCAGCCTCGACATTCGCAAGATCGCCGGCCCGGTGAGCTTCGACGCCAAGGCCGGATTCTTCGACGAGGCCATAGCCGCCAATCATCGTCGTCGCGGTCAGCAGCAGCAGCAGCAGCAGCAGTACGTGCACAAGCAGCAGATGAATATGCCCGAAGCGCTGAGGACGAATACTCTGGATCGGGCGAGCTATACCAAGGCCAGGGCTAATAAGCAGCAACAGCAAGTGGGGAGGAATGGACATTTGGATCAACCGAGAAAGTACAATACTTTGGGTAGATCGACACAGAGGCAGCAGCAGCAGCAGCAGAGGTGTGCCGGCGATGGTTTTTACGGCAATGGAAAGCACGAGGTGCATCAGTTGAAGAGGCCGCGCAGTACCGATCGCATTTTGGACGATGTGAGTATTGTAACTCGTAATAGTATTGATTATTTTAGGGGCGGTGAATTTTGAGATTAAATTTTTTTATAATTTATTGTATGTATTGTATAAGGATCTATTGACTCGAAATGGCCAAGATGATTTTGGAAGTTTATTGAAATTTGTGAGGAGAATGTACAAACAGATAAGCCGGTAATTTAATTGTAAACAATATGATCATAAACGATTTTGACTTATCGACACACTGATCGTGTTTATAGTAACGACAAAATTAATTCGGATATTGTCTTCCCGGCTGAAACAAGCTACAAAACCAGAGATAGATTTTACTTATTCATATTTCGTGGCAACATATAGAAAAATCCATCGTTTAATTTAAACAATAAAATGGATAAGAGTGAGGAGAAATCAGAGGAAGTTGTCTCTCAAGATAATTCAGGTGAACATGAAATTGCTGTTTCGGACGAAAAAAAACACGTTTGTGATGTTTGTCAGGAGGAATTTACAGTAGAATCAAGCATGATAACACATCGAAATACATTTCACAATGAACAAAAAAATTTCGCTTGTGATAAGTGTGAGAAGACATTTGAGTTCCGGAGTCATTTGAGTAGACACCAAATATCAGAACATAAAGGAGGCAAAGATTTCGCATGCGACGAGTGTGAGAAGAAATTTGTGAAAAAATCAAGTTTGCTTACGCATCAAAAATTAATACATAAAGATCGTGAAGATTTTACTTGTGACAAATGCCAGAGAAAATTTGAAAATAAATCAACTTTACTCAAGCACAAAAAAATATTCCATGAAGTTTTCAAAGATTACTTATGTGAAAAGTGCGCCAAGAGATTTGCAAGCAAGCAGAGGTTACTCACACACGTAAAGAGAGTCCATAACGGTCGCAAAGATTTCGCTTGTGATGAGTGTGAGAAACAATTTGGATACAAATGGAATTTGCTCTTACACCAAAAGACAGTCCACGAAGGTTGCACGGACTATGCATGTGACATTTGTGAGCAGAAATTTGCATACAAATCGAGTTTAATTAAGCACCAAGAATACACGAAGGTCGTAAAGATTATGCATGCAATAAATGCGAGGAGAAATTTAGAAAAAACTCGCAATTGCTCTTCCATCTAAAGGCTGTACACAACGACTTCCAAAATTACTCATGCGACAATTGCGGGAAGAAATTTGGACAAAAACGGTCTTTACTTGCGCATCAAAAAATATTCCACGAAGGTCGGAGAGATTACCCATGTGACCAATGCGAAAAGAAATTTGCATATAAAAATAGTTTGTTCTTCCATAAAAATAAAATCCACGAAGGTCGCAGAGATTTTGCATGTGATAAGTGCGAGAAGAAATTCTGTCAAAAACCGTCTTTGCTTTTCCACCAAAAAGTAGTTCACGAAGGTCGCAGAGACTTTGCTTGTGACAACTGCGAGAAGAAATTTGGACAAAAATCAGATTTGACCAAGCATCAAAAGACAATCCACGAAGGTCAAAAAAATTACCCATGTGACAAATGCGAAAAGAAATTTGGGGTTCGATGCAATTTGATAGTACACCAAAAAATGACACATGAAAGTCGCAGAGATTTTACATGCGACAATTGTGGGAAAAAATTTACGCGAAAATTTGGTTTGCTTTATCACCAAAGGATAGTACACGAAGGTCGCAAAGATTATGTATGCGATAAATGTGAAAAGAAATTCGGGGATAAAGGTCATTTGACAAGGCACCAAAAAGTAGTCCATGAAGGTCGGAAAGACTTTCCCTGCGACAGGTGTGAAAAGAAATTTGGAGATCGAAGCAGTTTGAACCAACACCAAAAAACAGTCCACGAAGGTCGTAAAGATTACACTTGCGATAAATGCGAGAAAAAATTTCAACGAAAATCAATTTTGCTCATCCATAAAGAGGCAGTACACGATAGTCGCAAAGATTACGCATGCAATAAGTTTGTAAAGAAATTTGGATATAAAGACTATTTGCTTCTCCACCAAAAGACAGTTCACGAAGGTCGCAAAGATTACTCATGCGACAATTGCGGGAAGGTATTTGGAATTAAATCGAATTTATTTAAGCACCAAAAGACAGTTCACGAAGGTCGCAGAGATTACGCGTGTGATAAGTGCGAGAAGAAATTCGGTCAAAAACCGACTTTGCTTTTCCACCAAAAAGTAGTTCACGACGGTCGCAAGGATTACTCATGTGACAAATGTGAGAAAAAATTTGGACAAAAGTATAATTTGCTCGTTCACCAAATGATGATTCACGAAGGTCGCAAAGATTTTGCATGTGATAAGTGCGAAAAGAAATTTGGAGCTCGAAGCAATTTGTACAAACACCAAAAAAGAATCCATAAAATTCTCTGATTATTTTTTAATTAAAAGACTGGATATTTCACACCTGGTTCACAATGAATAATTGTAAAGAGATTTTAAGTTTATTAGGAATAAAGTATTGTCTATATTGAATAACTCGAATTTATCGCAGTCATATACTCTTAATATTATTATCTCATAAGAGAAAGGCGTGCATTCAATCGGTGAAATAATGACGTACGTTAATTTTTTTATTGACAATTGTAAATATGCGTATATTATGTTTCTACTATATTTATAATTTTTTATTTTATTTTTTTTTAAATATACATCATTCATTATCCTGGTTAATGCTTTATTTCTTAACTGTACACGACAACTATTTACTACTTTCTGCGCATTTTTTGACTCATGCAACGATCAGCCGAGAATTTTTTTGCACGTCTTATTTGGAACTATGAATGGGACGAGCGTTTAGCTGACTATCGAATTTTTTAGAAACGTGAGATAATGATGCGTGATCCAATTGACGAAACACGCCATTTTGAAAGATTTTGATAAGTTTGCGGACGGACATTGATTTATTCTGCCAAGAGAGCCTTGATCGGTAGTAACGATAACTTTTCATTATTATATAATTTTTTATTATCAGTTTATTGAAAAAACCAACGTGGAAACCAGACTTATACAAATTTTTAAAGATTGTAAAAAAGCTCTTATTGGTTTAAATTATACAATTAAGTCTTCTAATTTATGTAGTACTTTTCACAGTCCTATTTTAATTATACTTCGATATTAATTTTTCAATTTTTCAAAATTCGATTTAACTGACTGGAAAGTAACAGTGGGTGTAGGGCAGCACTTTTGTTAATCCGACACTGGCATTGCATTCTATAATTACTTCTCAACTGACGTTATTTGACTAGAACATGAATTCTCCTTGTCAAAAGTAGGCTATAAATCTAAATTACTAAAAAGAAAAATAAAAAAAATCTAAATCGTAAAAGAGAAATAGCTCGAGGATAAACATTATCCCATTTATTGTACGTGCAAATACCGTGCTTTCATTTGTACCAAAATTTTGACTTTGTCACTTGCAGATTGACTGATTTCAAGGTACTCGCCATCTAGTGACAGAAATTTAAAATAGTTTTACCGTACACAATGTGATTGAAAACTGATCTAAATTTTTGGAATTAGTTAAATTGTCATTTAAAATCCACTAAATATCTTCGACGTCGCTTTCAAAAATCGCCAATTGATCCAACTGACAAAAATCAATTATTCCGCTTTCAGAGATCTCGCGACAGCGACCTGTACGAGGACGCGCGCAATTACCTCAGCCGAAGTCGCGAGAGTCTTCTGCAGCATCGCAACGACATCAACAGCGGGGGCGGCGGCGGCAAAGCACGAGTCTCTCCCTCTCGAAAACGTTCCGATCAGCAGCAGCAGCGTCGCAATCACAACTCGATCGTCAACAACAATAACAACAACAAGAACAGCAGTAGCAGCAGCAGCAGCAACAACAACAATCACCAGCACCAGCACCACAACAACAATAACAAGGACTCGACGTACGACTCGATCTACAACGAGCCGAGCTTCAGGAACGGCCTGTCCAAGCTCTACGGCGGCGGTGATTCATCGCGCTCGAAGCAGAGCAGTCGGCCGCAGTCCGCGGCGCCGAGCATCAGGGTGAGCGGCGACTCCGGCTGCTGCTCGGCCGTGTCCACGATGGAGAGAAAATCAACGACTTCGTCGACCGGAGGTAGCGGTAGCGGTGGTCGTCATCATCCGCCGCCACCCATTGCTTATCAAGATTCCTTGTTACTCGGTGGTGGTGGCGGTGGTCGGCACATTTTGGAAACGGAGCACAACAACAACAACCACCACAAGGACAACGGCAAGGAGCCGTTGTCGCCCGTGGACGCGCTGAAATCGCCGAACCAGGACTCGTCCAGTCCTGCGCTGATGTCACCGGTGTCCGTCAATTCCTTTACAGGTATACAAAAGTGCAGATTCCTCTGTAAGCAAAATCTTATGCAAGTTCTTATTTATGATACTTACACGTGGTCTTACGTAAGATCTTATACTTGATCTTAAGTAAGATTTCACAGATGATCTTATGTAAGATTTCACAGATGATCTTATGTAAGATTTAAATACCATAATCGACGTTATAAATTATTATGTAAAAGGGGCTCTACTCAAAAGCCTTAAATATATGGGTAAGATCTTTCATAAGAACTTAGAACCTACGTAAAAGTTTCCTACGTACGATCTTGAATTGAGAAAATCATTTATTTTTGTTTAAGATCTAATGTGACACGTACTTCACAAAAGTTGTAACGCAAATTCCAACATGAGATCTTACATAAGATTTCTTGTAAGATCATATAATAAACCAGCATAAGAATTTACTCGATATTTTCATCAATCGAACATGCTTAATAAAAATATTCGATTCTCCCGCAGTTTACCCATCGGACCAGGAGCAAGGACAGCAGCAACCGGGTCCAGTCTTGACTCCGGACGGCAAGAGGCTCCGCTGCGCCAGCGTACCCACGGCCAAGAATAAAACAGTCGTGCCGCGCAGCGCCGTCTCCATGCCCTGCATGCCCAGCATCGCCCAGGAATCTCAGCAGCAGCAGCAGCAAGCGGCTATGGTGGCCAAACTGTCGCCGCCGAGCTCGAGGCCGACCAGTCCCGCGGAGAGCAGCAGCAGCGGCAGCGGCAGTAGTCACAGCAGCTCGTCGTCGTCGTCGTCGTCGTCCTCGAGCAATCTGACCTCGGAGCGCAGCGGCTGGGTGAGCAGCGGCGGCGACGCGGACACCAACTCGAGCTCCGAGCGACGGCCCAAACCGCATCATCATCGTCGTCGGCGTCATCATCAGCCGTCGTCGTCGTCGTCGTCGAAATTGTCCACGGAGCAGCTGAGGCAGAAGCTGGCCAAGATCGTGCAACAGCAGCAGCAACAGCAACCAGCGGCACCTCCACAACCCCCGCCGAGACATAAGAAAGAAAAGAAGGAAAAGAAACGCGACAGGCATAAACATCATCAAAGAGACAAACAACAGCCGACGACGACGACGGCGACGACGACGGCGACGTCGGGCGCGAAAAAAATCCCGGACTCGCCGGCGGCCGGTGGCGGCGATTCGAGCGCCACGTACGAGGAGCTGGTGCGACTGCCTCCGCCGAGGATGTTCATGGACGAGCCGCCGCCGCCCGAGGCGTTTCGCGACCCGTCGCCCCTGCCGCCCTCGATGATGGCCGCCGCCGCAGCGGCTGCGGGGATGATGATGCCACCCATGACCGTCGACAATCCGCTCTATCACGTGGTCGAGTCGGTCAAACAACAGCAGCAACAGCAGCAGCAGCAACAAAAGATGCTGATTCATCAACGTCAGAATCATCAACATCATCGTCATCATCAATATCAACAGCATCAACAGCAGCATCAAGTGCACCAGCAACAACAACAGCAGCACCAGCAGCATCATCATCCTCAAGGCCACGTCAACGGCAGCAACAAGTCGGTACGGGGCAGCCCCAAACAGACCAAGACAGCTCCGTGCTCGCCGCAGCGCAGCAAGCAGCGGGTCGCCACGGACGGCATACCCTACGGCAAGGGCAGCCGCCACGATCTCTGCTCCGACTGCTATCAGGAGGGCAAGGAGCTCCTCCAGAGCAGCCAGCAGAACAATCAGCAACAGCTTCCACAGTCGGGTCAGGATCATGGCGGTAGCGGCGACAACGCCAACTTCAACAAGAACAAGGAGGACTTCAAGCGTCAGACCTGCTTCCCGGGCAAGCTGTACAGCGATCTGCCGGCCGGGCAGCTGGCCTCGCAGCTGCCCTACTTTCACATAAGCGACGAGTACAGGCTGTACTCGCCCGAGGGCTGCCACCTCATCGTGTGCGTGCACGGCCTCGACGGCAACGCCGCGGATCTGCGCCTCGTCAAGACCTACCTGGAGCTCGGCCTGCCCGGCCAGCATCTCGACTTTCTCATGTCGGAGACCAACAAGGGCGACACGTTCTCGGACTTCGACACGATGACGGATCGCCTCGTGGCCGAGATACTGCATCACATCGAGTCGGGCGGCCTCGCCCCCACCAAGGTGAGCTTCGTCGGCCACTCGCTCGGCAACATCATCATCAGGAGCGCCCTGACCCGACCGCAGCTGCGCGGCCTCGTGCCGCGCCTGCACACCTTCCTGAGTCTGAGCGGACCCCATCTGGGCACCCTGTACAACACCTCGGGGCTGGTGAACGCGGGCATGTGGTTCATGCAGAAGTGGAAGAAGTCGGGCTCGCTGCTGCAGCTGGCGATGCGCGACTCCACGGACGTGCGACGCTCGTTCATGTTTCGGCTGAGCCAGAGGAGCAATCTGCAGAGGTTCAAGCACGTGCTGCTCTGCGGCAGCGCCCAGGACAGATACGTGCCGCTGCACTCGGCCAGGATCGAGCTGTGCAAGGCCGCGGTTCGAGATCCGTCCGAGCAGGGTGAGTACGGGAGTTTTTTTATTAGTTTCTTCGTGGGTACCCGAGTAAAAAAAACAGATCTTTTTAAGATCTTTTTAAGAACATCTCACTGAGGCTCATAATTAAGAAGTTCTTAAAACTTTTTTTTTTAACGCGGGTATAAACATTGAGTTTTGATCATTAATGTTGAGTACAAAAAAAATATTTGGAAAATGAAGAGGTGGGAAAATTTTCAAAAGGATATTTGTTCAATTTTTGTTTGTATTACGTTGCGTTATGAAGATACAAGTCACATTGATAAATCAATCGATACCAATACTGCTTTTATGCAGTGTACTTTGAAAAAAAATCTTCGTTGAACATCGACATACTCAAAAATGCCCAAAGTATCCATGAATACGCAATCTTGTGCATTAATTTTAACGTCAAAATAAACCAATGATATCCAATTCTATGGTCAAAATTAAATATTTCTATTGAAAATGAATGATTTGAAATCGATTCAGTTTTAGCATCGATCGCTAAAAAAATGTATGAAATTGAATCGTAATTAATAGCAGCCTCCGTTGCTAGATGGCGAGTCTGCGGTTATCTAAAAATCTGCAAGTGGCAAAGTAAAGATGATTGTACAAGTACAAGTCCGACGTTGCCAATTTTAGAAAGTTCGTCGTTTCATTCTCGCCTTAATTTGTTGCAGGCTCGGCCTATCGCGAGATGGTGCACAACATCCTTTACCCGATCATGTCGACGCCGGGCGTCAGTCTGGTGCGCTACGACGTGCATCACGCCCTGCCGCCCACCGCCAACGCGCTCATCGGCCGGGCGGCCCACATCGCCGTGCTCGACTCCGAGCTCTTCATCGAGAAGTTCCTCCTGGTCACGGGCCTCAAGTACTTCAAGTAAACGAGAAGAGAAAAGAAGAAGAAGAAGAAGAAGAAGAAGAAGAAGAAAAAGACGATTTAATAATGATACAGATATATTATTATTATAAAAAAAGTATATAAGTACCTCGTTGACGCTATGATATAACGACCTCCTCCAAACCCCTTCTCTAAAAACCCTACCTTACAACTTTCAACTCTTTATCTCTTGAAAAATACTATACTATCGTCTTGAATAATCTCTTAACCCAGCATCCAGAAGAATAAAAGTCTTTATCCCTGAGTATAATTATAAATATGATGAATAATACCGAAATATTTATTGTATAGAGAACGAACAAACGAAAAATAAAAAGGTGGTGCACGAGCGAGGGCTGAGATGTACACACAGACACATACTAAAGAAAAAAAAAAGAAAAAATAAACTGATCATTGTGATAGCCAATTAGCGACGATCGCTAACTCATCGGACGTCGATAATAATTAAAGAAAAATGATATATAAAAATTAATTTATTATTATTATTATTACTATTATGTATATAAATGACGAGTTGTGTAAATTACGAATAGTGTAATTTTTTTGTCACGAAAAACGATAAAAACGATAAAAAAAAAGCAGCTAACAACTAATCCATTGTACTCGTCGTTGTTGAAAGTGTTTATGAAATACTCATTATACGACGCAGAGGGTGTGTCTAACGTAATAGTTGAACATAGAAGATAAAATTATTTAAAAAATATATCACTGTGTAACGAAGAGACGTGCGAATGTTTTAGTTCCGTACGGAAAATGTATAAAGTAAGGCTTTTCTTTCGAGGATATGAACGACGCGTTAATTGAAAGATCAACGACGATTTGAGTTTTTCATTATCGATATAAGTACGACTATGTCTGTGTATATTTCTATTTCGTCGATTTTTTACCGATTTTTTAAGACGCAGGGCAGAGTCTTGAAAAAGAAAATAAAATAAATAAAGAAAAAGAAGAAAAGCTTGTAATTATAAGTAATCGTCATTTTTTTATTACAAAAAAAAAAAGAAACTTCGATTTAAGAGACGATCGTTCTCGAAGCACATCTCTCAAAAATGCACAACACAAAAAATGATTCGTGTCGATATTTATTGATAAACTGTCCTTTAGAAACTACGAACTGCCTAATTTCTTACGAATTATTCGAATTAAAGTATATATACGTATGTCCGTTCGTTTGTATTTTATAACACGTCGAGAATTTTTTTCCTTCATCTTGAGGGATGATACTTACGATTCAAAGTAAACAAAAAAGTAGCATGAGTGTGATAGTCAAATAAAATATGGCAAAGTGTCAAAATAAAATGAAAAGTTCATATAATCTAAAAAGAGTTGAAGAGCGAATATTATATAGAGTTGGGCTTGTTTGAAAACGAAAATAATAAAGGTATAAGTTTTTAGATGATATATCGTGTAACGACAGAAAAAAAGGTATCAATGTTTTCACGTTAGGAAAGTTTATGAAACGCATGTCAATTGTTCTCTAAAGATTTTCACGACCATCAAATTTCGAACAGGTAGTTAAACCGTTAAAAAAAAAAAGAAGATAACACATAACTTTTATCATTTGCTCGTGATACATGTATAGCGGAGAAGGAAAAAGAGAACGAAGGATATGATAAAAGGTGATGGATAATTTTTTCTAAAAATCAAAGAAGCTAATTAAAAAAAAATATAGATAGAAGCAGTAGTTTAAAAATTTAACTGAGAAAAAAATTGAAATACTTAGTAACCGTAAATGCAAATGGTTATATGTAACAAATCCCTCCAATCGCTGCACGAATAATAAAAGCATCTCAAGAACTTTTGCGTCGACTATAACTACAAACAAAAAAGAAAAGAAGTATATATTATGACGGAGTGCGAGGATTATAAGGTAATAGATAAAGAAAGGAACGCATAAGTATCGTTAAAATCGTAGAGAATTATATACTATATTTAACGCTAGTGAACAATCAATCTATTGTATTCGCTGATTTTTGTATAATTTTAATTTTAAAACGAAGAGAAAACGCAATTGAAATCGCAATGAATTACGTAGACACGGCAGATGAATCAAACACGAGCTTTTTTTCTATGATAATTAAAACGAGGATATTCAATTCAATAATATTGACTGAGATTAGGAGTAAAGGAGAGAAAAAAAATTTATTCGGCAAATTGAGACGACCTCACCTTTGTGTAAATTTTTTAATATCAATTCTAGATGTTAATTGAATGCCAAAAACACGAAAGACTTTCGCGTAATTATATAGTCAATCGTTTCTTTTGGAATCCTTGGAAATTTTGTATCTTTAAATTTTATTGTAATTAAACGTATTGTGATATGTAAATATTCAAATTGATTTCGACAAAATGCATAAGTGAATTAAAAAAAAAGCAAAGTGATCTCTACTCGTTGTACAGGACTTTTCTCTGGATAGGCGGGCATCGTGTCATCCGGATGGAAGCGATCAAAACCTATAAACATTTCTACTTGAATAAAAAAACATTTCAGCTCCATTTTTTTATAATAAAAATTATATTTCTGAAGCTCACTCCAAATCGATCTGTTAAATTCGGCTCTTTATTCTCGAGGATCCAATCCATCGGCGACAATAACAGTGCTGAAAGAAAAAAAATCTAAATTCTCTTGATTCCATTATGATTAATATACCTTTCAAGTCACCAAAAATGCCAAAAATGGCCCGAGACGGCGTATAAAACAAGTAGAAAACTTTACCAGCTCGCTGTTGTCGAATAAAATAGAATTGACTCCGTATTATATGATATAATTGTAAGTTGACTGTTTTATTAAGAGGGAACACCAAAAGAAAAATAATAAAAAAATCCGAACGACGATCGAGGGGAAGAAAAAAAAGTTAAACTATTAAACGCCGTATACGATACGTATACATTTTGGATTACTAAAAGAAAATACGATTGAAAAAATATCAATGAAAAAATGTAATGGATAATAATAAAAAAAATTGTCATTATTATCAAAAATGTGTGGGTTTGTTTCTTGTCCATATCTCAATCGTTTAATTTTTGCTCATTGAATCATAAATATTACATTAATAAATATGATATGATTTGTTGGGACCTTATAATCAGAACGCCAGGAATCAGCAATGATGTAAAAAGCATGACTTAACCTTCTTTTTTGCAATGGAATATAGTTTTAATGAACTTTTGATTTTTTGATAGATCTTTTATTTCTTTGAGATAAAATATAACTTTTTGAAAAATGATTGTTATTCACGAGGAAGATCGATAGCGTAATCTTGTTCCCCTTACTTTCATACCAATTTCTACATCATGATTTATAAGTATTATTGAACTGAGTTTGAGCTATTTCGACTCGTAACGTTAGTATTGACAGAGTAAGTCGCAAATAACATTTCTAACGAGTAAGATGGAATCGAGCAACGTATTCAATACTGCTATTAGGTAATGTTTATTTTATGAGTTTAAATTTATAAAAATGTTGAAACATGATCATGTAATTTTATCAAATGTATTTCAGAGTGAAAAATGAGCCACTGGATGATAATGATTACAAAATAATTGACACGATACCCGTCACTCAAAATATTAAATGCGAGATGTTTCGGCAAGAAAATTCAGTAAGCGTTAATAATTACGTTTGACTATCATTAATGAAACTTTCTTATAATAATTTTAATTTTTTCAGACCCCAGAGCTTTTTCAAGAATATGACGAAAATCAGAAAAATGAACTTGACGACCTGGAAATCGAAATGGAATGTATAGACATGAAGCCTAATTTATTATTAGTTGCGAAAATTGAAGATCATTCTCCAAATCAATGGCAGGATAGCGATGTTTATAAAAACGGAAGCAAAATAAAACTCGAAACTGTCGGGGCAGTGAAGAAAGAAGTTTTTTGTAAAGAAGAAACTGATTTGAATTTCGGGCGTGGACTCAGCGAGCAAAATAAACAAGGAACTGCCTCAAAAGAGCTTAGCAATGAAAATAGGCTCAAAACTGACAATGATACTACGCATAATAAAATCACACATGATTGTGATATTTGCGGAAAATCATTCAAATATAAGAGTTATCTCCAAAGACACATCGATTCGTTACATCGTAAAATCACACATCCATGCGATATATGCCAAAAGACATTCTCAGACAAGTGTAATCTCAAAAAGCACATCGATTCGGTACATCGTAATATAAGGTATCGATGTGATGAATGTGGAAAATCATTCAGATCTAAGAGTGATCTCCAAAGACACATCGATTCGTTACATCGTAAAATCACGCATCCATGCGATATATGCCAAAAGACATTCTCAGACAAGTGTAATCTCAAAAAGCACATCGATTCGGTGCATAATGGTGTTAGACATGCATGTGACATGTGTGGAAAGACATTCACTCAAAAAAACCACCTCACAACTCACATCGAATCGATACATCATAAAATTACTCATCCATGCGATATATGCCAAAAGACATTCTCAGACAGGAGTAATCTTAGAAATCACATTGATTCGGTGCATCGTAAAATAAGGTATCGATGTGATGAATGCGGAAAATCATTCAGATATAAGGGTCATCTCCAAAGACACATCGATTCGTTACACCGTAAAATCACGCATCCATGCCATATATGCCAAAAGACATTCTCAGACAAGAGTAGTCTCAAAACGCATATGGACGCGCTACACAATGGAATCACCCACGCATGTGATAAATGCCAAAAGACATACTTAGACAAAAGTAATCTCAAAACTCATATGGATGCGGAGCACAATGTAATCACCCATACATGTGATATTTGTAAAAGAAAATTTAAATATCGAAATAGTCTCGCTAGACATAACAGATTGTCTCATAATGGTACCACTTATTCATGCAAGACATGCGGCAAGACATTTAGACAGAAAAGAAATCTCAGAGCCCACATCGATATGGCGCATCGCTCGCTCAATATGACCTAATAAATGTTTAAAATTTATGTTGAATTAAGTTAGAAATAAAAATGTAAGATCAAGTGTTAATTTTCATTAATTATGTGATGAATTTCTATGCATTATGTTACTTCACTGTTACATATGGAAAGATATAAATAACATCCACGTAACACTTCCAATGCAGGGAAAGTTGCCGAAATCGAGGGTTCTGCGCTTTTCTTATAATATCGTTCGTTTCTTTATTTTTGAGAAGTTGCGGCCACTATAAGTTTTACGCATGTTCTTTCGTACTCGATGTTACTTGCTATCTCTTCACTAATGTGAGAATTATATTTTGCTCAAATTTATTAAACATCGTCGCGATCAGACTCGACTCTCTCGCTATGATACGATCTCTCGGTGCAAAGCCGGTGACCTAACTAAAGGCATATATATTCTCCTTCGAGTTCTTTTACCGCCGCGTTGGATTGTCCCCATGGTTCTTCGGAAAGGAACTCTTAAGTTCCGTTATTATCACCATCGGTCGTACACGAATTAATATCATTGCAGCCTCTCCTTGCGACTCGGAGGAAGAGAGTCTAATTCAGGTTCTCTGGAAATAGCCAGAGGTATGAGCGTCAAAGTAACGTCCTTTGGCAAATCTTGTGAGACTCGACCTTTCGGCTGCTCCGAACGTCGAAAGGGTTATATACCCGTTACCACTGGGTAATAACTTTATTATTTAAATATTAAATATTATTTTCTGTTGTGTCTGAGTGGAGAGGGATCATGAAATAAAGTGTATAACGCTCAAGTGAGATTTACACACAAGACTTTATTACAAGAAAACTAATTACTATTAAACAAGCTTACAAAATAAGTGTGGCCGATGCTCGTCGATCTGTAGGGCTGCAAACGCCGTCGGGACGCTACGGTTGTCGCTGTTGCTGGTGCGCTGCGCTGATGCTGTTTGGCCGTCGGTCGCGGCTGTTGCAGTGACGGTCGTGGCTGCTGTTGGGACGTTGCGCTGCTCGGCTGGTGGAAGCACTCACTCGAGCTTTACCGTTCGCGAATACAATTAATGATTTCGATGATCGCGGCGTATAAGTACAAGTACAAGTTAGTCGCTGTTATTGACTCGCGCTTGGTTCTCACTAAGTACAATATGTGCAATTCGCGTTGTATGACAAGTCCGTTAAATATTGCGAAGTCGCTATTACAATGATTCGATTATTCGCGCGCACAGAGCTTCGCCTTACTCAACTCTCTATAATGATCTGCCCAGAGCTTCGCCCTGCTCGACTGTATAAAATGATCTGCCCCGAGGCCTAATTTTTATGCACGTTATATACTAATTAAATCATGGACCTTTCGGCGGGGGTCCGTCTTGGGTTTTTTCCACAAGTCGCAAATCTACCAGCTATTTCGTCACTTATTGACTCAGTTTCCGCTAGACCAGGATGTTCCCAATGGTTATCTAAGGTCAAAGGCCAAACTTGGGGGAGATATGGGACTTGCGAGTGCGCGTGCGAACTTGCTTCGCCCCTTTGTACCAATTCGAATCATTCCACGAGTCTCGTCTCGCATGTGTGTGTTATGCCTTCTTTGTGTTCGGTTTGCACACACATGCGAGTACACATACACGGAATATATACGCGTGCGGGGCTTGATCTAGTGCGTCGGTAATGTTGCTCGCGCACGTCCGTACATACCTTCAACCTTTGTCTTGCTCTGTGTTCGGCTGATACACATATGCGCGCGGGTTCGATCTAATGCGCCGATGTGTGTTGGCCGCTTACATTCACACATACATTCATGCGACAGCGCTTGCCTGTCTCTGTGTTCATCTTACATACATGCCTCTTTACCCGCGAGATCAGGCGTCATACGTGTTAATTTGACGGTCTTATTTTAATTATTATATTTAAATTTTACTATACCCAACGCTGGGTTATTGGTATATAACAAAAGCATTGCTGCCGAGCTAAATTTGTCAGCTTGGGAGGTAGTATTCGGCTTTCTTAAAGGATGTGACTCGGAGTATAAAGAACCGTAATTCCATGATCAACTCATCGAATCCATCTCTTACAGTAACGAATTATCCTTCCTTCCTTTTTTACGTGAAATTATTCCAATGAATTCGTTTTCATATTTTTTTAATTTCTTCGAAAATAAAATATTATTTATAGGGAAATGATGTTTATTCATGAATTACATCGCTAACGTAATTTGTCCAATGTTATGAAACTAATGTTGCTTGGTTTACATTACTTTTAATTTCCATATCAAAAGTAGTAAATACTATTTATTTCAGTTTCAGTTCTATTTCGACTCGTAACGTAAGTATTGACAGAGTAAGTCGCAAGTCAGATTTCTAACGAGTAAGATGGAATGGAGCAATGTATTAAATCCTACCGTTAGGTAATTTTTATTTTATAAAAATTATGTTACGAAACTCTTATACTAAAATAATTAATCTAACTAAATCTATTTCAGAGTGAAAGATGAGCCTCTTGATGAACCTTTCAACGATGATAATGATTACAAAATAATTGACACTACACCCGTTACTCGAAATGTCAAATACGAAAGGTTTTGGCAAGAAAATTCAGTATGTGTTGATAATTATATGCAACAATCACGATAAAACTTTTCATGAAACTTTTCTCATGATTTAAATTTTTTCAGGGCCAAATGCTTCAAGAAATTGACAAAAATCATGAAAATGAATATGACGACATCCAAATCGAAATGGAATGTACCGACATGAAGCCCAACTTATTGGCGGTTATGAAAATTGAAGATTATTCTTCAAATCAATGGCCGAATAGTGACGAGTATGAAACTGGAAGCAAAATAAAACTAGAAACTGTCGGGACAGTGAAGAAAGAAATTTTAAGCGACGAAGAAACTGATTTGAATTCCAGACGTGAACTCAGCGAACAATCTGAAACAAGAAGTGTTTCAAAAGAGTCGAACTATAAGAGGAGTCTCAAAGCACACGTGGGTATAGTGCAAAGTGGTATCAATCATACATGCGATACATGCCAAAAGACATTCTCAAAAAAAAGTGATCTCAAAAGGCACATCGCTTCGTTGCATAATCAAGTCCGACATGCATGCAATAAATGCCCAAAGACATTCTCAGACAAAAGTAGTCTCAAAATCCACATCGATGCGGTGCATAATGGTTTCAGACATGCGTGCGGTATTTGCCAAAAGACATTCCCACACAAGGGTTATCTAAAAAAACACATTGATTTCGTGCACAATCAAGTCCGACATGCATGTAATAAATGCCAAAAGACATTCTCAGATAAGGGTTATTTAAAAAAACACATCGATTCGTTGCACAAGCGAATCGGACATACATGTGACATTTGTGGAAAGACATTCACACAAAAAATTAATCTCAATACTCACATCGAATCGATACATCATAAAATCACGCATCCATGTGATAAATGTCAAAAGATATTTTCACAAAAGGGTTCTCTCAAAAAGCACATCGATTCGGAGCATAATAATGTCAGACATACATGCGATATTTGCAAAAAGAAATTCACATCAAAGTATTATCTCCAAAACCATATTGATGCTGTGCACAATGGAATTGGCTTCGGATGTGAAGTTTGCGGATTTAGATTCATACTAAAAAGTAATCTCAAAAGGCATATGGATGCGGAGCACAATGGAATTACCCATCCATGTGATATGTGCACAAAGAAATTTACTGCGAAAAGTAGTCTGAAAGCCCATATCGATGCTGAGCACAATGGAATCACCCATCTATGTGATTTCTGTGAAAAAAAATTTAAATACCAAACTCAACTCCATAAGCACGTCAAATCGTCGCATAGTGCTATCATACATTCATGCGAGACATGCGGCAAGACATTTGGACAGAAAAGAAATCTCAGAGCTCACATCGTTATGGCGCATCGCTCGCTCAATATGACCTAATAAATGTATCAAAAATACTATAAAAACAATACATTTTAATATGAAAAGAGCCAGATCATGTTTCTTAAACAATAAATCGATTTATCCCTTAGCTTTATAATTTTACTTTGAATCTTTATTCTTATTAAATTCTCTATTATTCTGATAATCAGTACCTATGGTTCACAATATGACACTGACGACTTTACAAAAGACAGTCCACGAAGGTCGCAGAGATTACCCATGTGACAATTGCGAGAAAAAATTCGGTCAAAAATCGACTTTGCTTCTTCACCAAAATGTAATTCACGAAGGTCGCAAGGATTACCCGTGTGATATATGCGAGAAAAAATTTGGAAAGAAGTCTAATTTGCTCGTTCACCAAAGGATAGTACACAAAGGTTGTAAAAATTTTGCATGTAATGAGTGTGAAAAGAAATTTGGAGCTTCAAGCAATTTGTACAAACACCAAAAATTAGTCCATAAAATTCGCTGATTATTTTATTATCGGAAGTAAATGTTTAAAAGTAGTTTAAAAATTTAACTGAGAAAAAAATGAAATATTTAGTAACCGCAAATGCAAACGGTTATACTGTAACAAATCCCTCCAATCGCTGCACGAATAATAAAAGCTTCTCAAGAACTTTTGCGTCAACTAAAACTACAAACAAAAAAGAAAAGATGTATATATTATGACGGAGTGCGAGGATTATAAAGTAATAGATGAAGAAAGGAACGCATAAGTATCGTGAAAATGGTAGAGAATTATATACTATATTTAACGCTAGTGAACAATCAATCTATTGTATTCGCTGATTTTTGTATAATTTTAATTTTAATACGAAGAGAAAACGCAATTGAAATCGCAATGAAATACGTAGACACGGCAGATGAATCAAACACGAGCTTTTTTTCTATGATAATTAAAACGAGGATATTCAATTTAATAATATTGACTAAGATTAGGAGTGAAGGAGAGAAAATGAAAATTTATTCGGCAAATTGAAACGACCTCACCTTTGTGTAAATTTTTTAATATCAATTCTAGATGTTAATTGAATGCCAAAAACACGAAAGACTTTCGCGTAATTATATAGTCAATCGTTTCTTTTGGAATCCTTCGAAATTTTGTATCTTTAAATTTTATTGTAATTAAACGTATTGTGATATGTAAATATTCATATTGATTTCGACAAAATGCATAAGTGAATTAAAAAAAAAAAGCAAAGTGATCTCTACTCGTTGTACAGGACTTTTCTCTGGATAGGCGGGCATCGTGTCATCCGGATGGAAGCGATCAAAACCTATAAACATTTCTACTTGAATAAAAAAACATTTCAGCTTCATTTTTTTATAATAAAAATTATTCTTCTGAAGCTCACTCGAAATCGATCTGTCAAATTCGGCTCTTTATTCTCGAGGATTCAATCCATCGGTGACAATAACAGTGCTGAAAGAAAAAAAAGTCTCGAAATTCTCTTGATTCCATTATGATTAATATACCTTTCAAGTCACCGAAAATCATAAAATGATTTTAATTCCTGGTGCCCGAGACGTTGTAAAAAACAAGTAGAAAACATTACCAGCTCGCTGTTGTCGAATAAAATAGAATTGACTCCGTATTATATGATATAATTGTAAGTTGACTGTTTTATTAAGAGGGAACACCAAAAGAAAAATAATAAAAAAATCCGAACGACGATCGAGGGGAAGAAAAAAAAGTTAAACTATTAAACGCCGTATACGATACGTATACATTTTGGATTACTAAAAGAAAATACGATCAAAAAAATATCAATGCAAAAATGTAATGGATAATAATAAAAAAAATTGTCATTATTATCAAAAATGTGTGGATTTTTTTTCGTCCGTATCTCAATCTTTTAATTTTTGCTCATTGAATAATGAATCTTCAACATAAATAAATTATGATACGATTTTGCAATGGAATATAGTTTAATGAACTTTTGATTTTTTGATGAATCTTTTATTTCTTTGAGATAAAATATCACTTTTTGAAAAATGATTGTTATTCACGAGCAAGATTGATAGCGTAATGTTGCTTCCCTTACTTTCATACCAGTTTCTACATCATGATTTATCAATATTATTGAACTGAGTTTGAGCTATTTCGACTCGTAACGTTAGTATTGACAGAGTAAGTCGCAAATAACATTTCTAACGAGTAAGATGGAATCGAGCAACGTATTCAATACTGCTGTTAGGTAATGTTTATTTTATGAGTTTGAATTTATAAAAATGTTGAAACATAATCATGTAATTTTATCAAATGTATTTCAGAGTGAAAAATGAGCCACTTGATGATAATGATTACAAAATAATTGACACGATACCCGTCACTCAAAATACTAACTGCGAGATGTTTCGGCAAGAAAATTCAGTAAGCGTTAATAATTACGTTTGACTATCATTAATGAACCTTTCCTATAATAATTTTAATTTTTCAGTCCCAAGAGCTTTTTCAAGAATATGACGAAAATCACGAAAATGAGCTTGATGACCTGGAAATCGAAATGGAATGTATAGACATGAAGCCTAATTTATTATTAGTTGCGAAAATTGAAGATCATTCTCCAAATCAATGGCAGGATAGCGATGATTATAAAAGCGGAAGCAAAATAAAACTCGAAACTGTCGGGACAGTGAAGAAGAAAATTTTTAGCGAAGAAGAAACTGATTTGAATTTCGGACGTGGACTCAGCGAGCAAAATAAAACAGGAACTACCTCAAAAGAGCTGAGCAATGAAAATAGGCTCAAAACTCACAATGATACTACGCATAATAAAATCACACATGATTGTGATATTTGCGGAAAATCATTCAAATATAAGAGTTATTTCCAAAGACACATGGATTCGGTGCATCGTAAAATAAGGCATGAATGCGATATATGCCACAAGACATTCACACAGAAAACGAATCTCAAATCCACATAGATTCGGTACATCGTAAAATAAGGTATCGATGTGATGAATGTGGAAAATCATTCAGATACAAGAGAAATCTCCAAAGACACATTGATTCGTTACATCGTAAAATCACGCATCCATGCGATATATGCCAAAAGACATTATCAGAGAAGCGTAATCTCAAAAAGCATATGGACTCGATGCACAATGGAATCACCTACGCATGTGATATGTGCACAAAGAAATTTACTGCGAAAAGTAGTCTGAAAGCCCATATCGATGTGAATCACCCATCCATGTGATTTCTGTGAAAAAAAATTTAAACATCAAACGAGTCTCACTAGACATAACAGATTATTTCATAATGGTACCACTCATTCATGCGAGACATGCGGCAAGACATTTGGACAGAAAAGAAATCTCAGAGCTCACATCAAAGCGGCGCATCGCTCGCTCAATATGACCTAATAATTGTTTAAAATTTATGTTGAATTGAGTTACAAAGCAAAATGTAAGATCAAGTGTATCTCTTCAGACGACTGAATTAATAATTTTTATTAATTCTATGAAGAATTTATGTTACTTCACTGTTACATACGGAAAGATTTAAATAACGTCCACGTAACACTTCCAATGCAGGGAAAGTTGCCGAAATCGAGAGGACTGCGCTTTTCTTATAATATCGCTCGTTTCATTATTTATGGGAAGTTGCGGCCACTACAAATTTTATGGATGTTCTTTCGTACTCGATGTTACTTGCTATCTCTCCACTATTGTGAGAATTATATTTTGCTCAAATTTATTAAACATCGTCGCGATCAGACTCGACTCTCTCGCTATGGTACGATGTCTCGGTGCAAAGCCGGTGGCCTAAACAAAGGCTTATAATCTTCTTCGAGCTTTTTCAACGTCAAGTTAGGTCGTCCCCGTGGTTTTTCAGAAAGAAACTCCCAAGTTTCGTTATTATCACCATCTGTCGTACACGAATTACCATTATTGCAGCCTCTCTTTGCGACTCGGAGGAAGAGAGTCTAATTCAGGCTCTCTGGAAATATCTAGAGGATATAAGCGACAAAGTAACGTCCTGTGGCAGATCTTGTGAGATTCGATCTCTCGGCTGCTCCGAACTTGAAACGTATTGTTGCCGAGCTAAATTTGTCAGCTTGGGAGGTAGTATTCGGCTTTCTTAAAGGATGTGACTCGGAGTATAAAGAACCGTAATTCCATGATCAACTCATCGAATCCATCTCTTACAGTAACGAATTATCCTTCCTTCCTTTTTTACGTGAAATTATTCCAATGAATTCGTTTTCATATTTTTTTAATTTCTTCGAAAATAAAATATTATTTATAGGGAAATGATGTTTATTCATGAATTACATCGCTAACGTAATTTGTCCAATGTTATGAAACTAATGTTGCTTGGTTTACATTACTTTTAATTTCCATATCAAAAGTAGTAAATACTATTTATTTCAGTTTCAGTTCTATTTCGACTCGTAACGTAAGTATTGACAGAGTAAGTCGCAAGTCAGATTTCTAACGAGTAAGATGGAATGGAGCAATGTATTAAATCCTACCGTTAGGTAATTTTTATTTTATAAAAATTATGTTACGAAACTCTTATACTAAAATAATTAATCTAACTAAATCTATTTCAGAGTGAAAGATGAGCCTCTTGATGAACCTTTCAACGATGATAATGATTACAAAATAATTGACACTACACCCGTTACTCGAAATGTCAAATACGAAAGGTTTTGGCAAGAAAATTCAGTATGTGTTGATAATTATATGCAACAATCACGATAAAACTTTTCATGAAACTTTTCTCATGATTTAAATTTTTTCAGGGCCAAATGCTTCAAGAAATTGACAAAAATCATGAAAATGAATATGACGACATCCAAATCGAAATGGAATGTACCGACATGAAGCCCAACTTATTGGCGGTTATGAAAATTGAAGATTATTCTTCAAATCAATGGCCGAATAGTGACGAGTATGAAACTGGAAGCAAAATAAAACTAGAAACTGTCGGGACAGTGAAGAAAGAAATTTTAAGCGACGAAGAAACTGATTTGAATTCCAGACGTGAACTCAGCGAACAAACTGAAACAAGAAGTGTTTCAAAAAAGTCGATCTGTAAGAAGAGTCTTAAAGCACACGTGGGTATAGTGCAAAGTGGTATCAATTATGCATGCGATATATGCCAAAAGACATTCTCAGACAAGAGTAATCTGAAAAAACATATCGATTCGGTGCATAATAAAGTCCGGCATGCATGCGATAAATGCCCAAAGACATTCTCAGACAAGGGTTATCTCAAAAAGCACATAGGGTCGGTGCATAATGGTGTCGGACATGCATGCGATAGATGCCCAAAGAAATTCTCAGACAAGAGTGGTCTGAAAAGGCACATCGATTCGGTGCACACGAGAGTCGGACATGGATGTGATATTTGCCAAAAGACATTCTCAGACAAGAGTAATCTCAAAATACACATCGATTCCGTGCATAATGGTGTCAGACATGCGTGTGGTATTTGCCAAAAGACATTTCCACACAAGGGTTATCTCAAAATCCATATCGAATCGAAACATCATAAAATTACGCATCCTTGTAATAAATGCCAAAAGACATTCACAGATAAGGGTTATGTAAAAAAACACATCGATTCGATGCATAATGGTGTTGGACATGCATGCGATATTTGCGGAAACACATTCACACGAAGACATCATCTCAAAACCCACATAGAATCGGTGCATAATAGTGTCAGACATGCATGCGATATTTGCGAAAAGACATTCACAACAAAGTATTATCTCCAAAACCATATCGATGCTGTGCACAATGGAGTTGACTTCGCATGTGAAGTGTGCGGAAATAGATTCACACTAAAATATTATCTCAAAAGGCATATGGATGCGGAGCACAATGGAATTACCCATCCATGTGATATGTGCACAAAGAAATTTATTGCGAAAAGTAGTCTGAAAGCCCATATCGATGCTGAGCACAATGGAATCACCCACGCATGTGATTTCTGCGAAAAAAAATTTAAATATCAGAATTATCTCAATAAGCATGTGAAATCTTCGCATAATGTTATAACCCATTCATGCGAGACATGCGGCAAGACATTTGGACAGAAAAGAAATCTCAGAGCTCACATCGATGCGGCGCATCGCTCACGCAATGTGACTTAATAAATTTATCGAAAATACTATAAAAACAATACATTTTAATATAAAAAGAGCCAGAACATGTTTCTTAAACAATAAATCGATTTATCCCTTAGCTTTATAATTTTACTTTGAATCTTAATTCTTATTAAATTCTTTATTATTCTGATAATCTGTACCGATGGTTCACAATATGACACTGACGAATTTACTGTATATCATATATCAAACCGGTTCTATATAAATTTTTTTTTGATAAAAAAAAGTGTCCTTTTTTTCATTTCATATCACACCCATTTCAGTATTTTATACTGATAATTCAAATTCATTTCAAAACAATGTTCAAGAAATTTTTTTATAAAGTTATCCTTTCAGTCGAGTTGAACAAATTTTCTCAATTTTACTAAAAAATATAGAACTAAAAAATTAGACAACATCATTTATGGAAGGATGCCTTTTGTAAAAACTGCGTCAACAAAAGTACACTTAATAGTGATGTAAACTGCAACGATGTTTATGCCGATTGCAAAGGGCGTCCCCACGCACTAAGGCGAACTAACATAAGAGTGAAAGATGAACCGTATATAAGCGAAAATTTTCATAATGTAGATTTGAATCAATTAAAAGAGATGGTAGAAACCTCATTACTGACGAGCATCGACATTTCACCATTGTGAAGTTCTCTTACCTCTTGAAGACTGGATTATAGAATAATAAATAAAGAGAATTTATTGATGTTATTATTTTTTAATTATATTTTCTGCAATAAGAAAGGGTTTATACATTGATCAACAAAAATAACAAAAGAACATTTTTCATTTTCTTAATTTATGTAATAATTTATCCATTGTATTTGTATTATATCAGTATGAAAAATCGTATAGTTAAATTTGCTCTAACATAGGTATTTTCACGATATTTTTGAGAATTGGCCACGATTGATAAAAACATAGAAACGTTTTCTCTTCAATTATTCTTCGACTCCTCGATTCTTTACAAAATAATATATTCTTCAAAATTTTTTAAACAAGTAATGTTTACGTAAAAACGGTAAATCAAAAAATTCATTTTTCTCTCTCTTTTCTCACTTTGCCGCTACGTTTAGGCTGTCGTGAGAAAAAATAGTATTTTGAACCGGTGCAAATATAGTTTTATAACGAAATCATAACTGCACCATGAAATATATACTATCGTTTGCAACATTTTAGAAATATTTCATTAAGATCCGGATTCAGTATCAGTCCCAGACTAAACCATCGATCAATCCTTGCACAGTTTCTGAATCAAGCTCAAGAGTTTTTCGTCGACTTCGATGCCGTCCATTTAATAATTGTCAGCCCGTGCGTAGTATTGGTCGAGCTGCTCGTTGCACCATTCCGGCAGTTTCGCGTCGACGTACTGGCCCATACCCACGAGCAGCAAATCGATCATTTCGCTCGAGTATCTCGACAGCTCGCGAAACCGATTCCTGGGATGATTCAGCTGTATCTGCCACGTGGCGTAGGGACTGAGTACGGGCTTATTGACGGCTATTTTATCGTAAATCATGTTGGTGGTAGCTGGCGCGTGACTCTCGCGATGTTCGGCCATCGAGTATTTGATGGTCTCGCTGACGCTTGGAATCGTGTACACCCGGTCGTCGCATCTGTACAACGAGCGACCCAAATGGATCAGGGTGAGGCCATAGTCTCGCAACGATTCGCGCAATTTAAGTTGGACTGTTTTATTTGGCGATGTGAAGTCGATACCGATTTTATTGAATTTCACGGCGTTGCCTTCGAATCCGTGCTCTATGTCAGCTTTTAGCGTCACTTTCTGCCCGTGCAACAATTTTTTGATATTATTTTTGTGCTCATTGTGTTTCCACGTATAGAATGGCTTCGACCATCCTTCTTCGCCATGGAAAGCGACATTTGGAAGCACGAATTGATCGCGGTCGTAGACTATGGCTTTGTATTGCAACATTTTATTTCTTAATTTGTCAAGAAAGCTCGAAAAGTAAGTCATTATATCATCGTTGTGTTTCGAAGTCTTCAGAATATTTGGTAAATTATAATAACCGAAAAAGGCGTGAGCAAACGGAAAGACGTTGCGCTTAACGGCACTGGTGGCTACTTTGTAATGCTGCATCACAACGTTGTTTTGGATCACGAGCATCAAATCATTGACCGCCACGTCGATCTCGTTATTGCCCGTAACGACTGGCTTGGCAGGATGGGCGTTGATGTTGGCGATGAATCTGCCGAGCCCGATCTTGTATTGGTACTCGTCCATGATTTTGAACAATTCCACCATGACGTCTATGCCTTCCGAAACTTTGCTGAAGATTTGCATGATTTTTGGCTGCACTTCGAAACCATCGAAATGGCGATTCCGACCGCTGTGATTTTCTGCTGTTTTTCTGTAATCCCCCTATTAGTGTCAATGGAAGTGTCAGCAATGCTCAATATATTCTGAATAGTGTTAACTACATTTTTTTTTGAATGGTGATGGTTTTTACGGCAATGGAAAGCACGAGGTGCATCAGTTGAAGAGGCCGCGCAGTACCGATCGCATTTTGGACGATGTGAGTTTTGTAACTCGTAATAGTATTGAATATTTTAGGGGCGATGAAGATTGAAAGTAAATTTTTTTATCATTTATTGTATGTATTGTATAGGGATCTATTGACTCGGTATTGCAAAGATGATTTTTGAAGTTTATTTATAGTTTTAGAAAATTGATAAAATTTCTCGATAAGAATTTTAAACTGATTGAAATTTGGGAGGAGAATGTACAAACAGATAAACCGGTAATTTAATTGTAAACAATATATGATCATAAACGATTTTGACTTTTTGACAAACTGATCGTGTTTATGGTAACGACAAATTAGTTCGAATATTGTCTTCGAATGTCGATGAAACAAGCTACAAAACCAGAGATAGATTTTACTTATTCACATTTCTTCGTACTAAATAGAAAATCCATCGTTTTATTTAAGCACCAAAATGGATAAAAGTGAGAATAAAATCGAAGAAGTTACCATTCAAGGTAATACTAGTGACCATGTCATTGTTGTTTCTGAAGACAAAAAGTATATTTGTGATATTTGTCACGAGGCATTTACACTGGAATCAAGCATGATTACACACAGAGATACAATTCACAATAAACGAAAAGATTACGAATGTGAAAAGTGCGAAAAAAAATTCGAGTTTCGAAGTCAATTGAGTAGACACCAAATATCAGCCCACAAAATCCGCAACGATTTTGCATGTGACAGGTGTGAGAAGAAATTTGTGAAAAAATCAAGTTTGTTTACGCATCAAAAGTTGCTACACAAAGATCGAAAAGATTTCACATGTGACAAGTGCGAGAGAAAATTTGAAAATAAATCAACGTTACTCAAGCACAAAAAAATATTCCACGAAGTATTAAAAAATTACTTGTGTGAAATTTGCGCGAAGAAATTCGACACAAAACAAAATTTGCTCATGCACATAAAAGGAGTCCACAGTGGTCGCAAAGATTACGCTTGTGATGAGTGTGAGAAAACATTTGGAGACAAACGGAATTTGCTCTTACACCAAAAAACTGTCCACGAAGGTTGCACGGACTATGTATGTGACATTTGTGAAAAGAAATTCGGACGGAAATTGGCATTATTTAAGCACCAAAAGAAAATACACGAGGGTCTAAAAAATCATGTATGCAATAAATGCGAGGAAAAATTTAGAAAAAAATCTCAATTGCTCTTCCATCTAAAGGCAGTACACAATGACTTCAAAAATTACTCATGCGACAATTGCGGGAAGAAATTTGGACATAAACGGACTTTACTTGCGCATCAAAAAATATTCCACGAAGGTCAGAGAGATTACGCATGTGACCAATGCGAAAAAAAATTTGCATATAAAAATAGTTTGTTCTTCCATAAAAATAAAATCCACGAAGGTCGCAAAGATTTTGCATGCGAAAAATGCGATAAGAAATATGGACAAAAATCAGATTTGATCCAGCATCAAAAGATAATCCACGACGGTCGAAGAGATTACGCATGTGATAAATGCGAAAAGAAATTTGGGGTGCGAAGCAATTTGATAGTACACCAAAGAGCAATACATGAAGATTGCAGAGATTATATATGCGACAATTGTGGGAAGAAATTCAAGCGAAAATCTGGTTTGCTTTTGCACCAAAAGACGGTACACGAAGGTTACAAAGATTACGTATGCGATAAATGTGAAAAGAAATTCGGGGATAAAAGTCATTTGACAAGGCACCAAAAAGTAGTCCATGAAGGTCGGAAAGACTTTTCCTGTGACAGGTGTGAAAAGAAATTTGGAATGAAGTCGAATTTGCTTATTCACCAGAAGGCAGTCCACGAAGGTCGGAAAGATTTTGCATGTGATAGGTGCGAGAAGAAATTTGGAGAACGAAGCAGTTTGAACCAACACCAAAAAACAATCCACGAAGGTCGGAAAGATTACACTTGCGATAAATGCGAGAAAAAATTTCAACGAAAATCGCATTTGCTCTCCCACCAAAAGGCAGTGCACGAAGGTCGCAAAGATTACCCATGCAATACATGCGAAAAGAAATTTAGTTTTAAATCGACTTTGCTTAATCACAAAAAAATTAGTCCACGAAGGTCGTAAGGATTTTCCCTGCGACAAGTGCGAGAAGAAATTTGGACGAAAATACAATTTGCTCTCGCACCAAAAACAAGTCCACGAAAATCACAAAGATTACACGTGTGAAAAGTGCGAGAAGAAATTTGGAAGTGAATCAGATTTGTACAGGCACCAATGGAAGGTACACGAAGGTCGCAGAGATTATGAATGCGACAATTCCGAGAAAAAATTTAAAGAAAAACTGAATCTGCTCTTACATTTTTTTTTTTTTTTATAGATAGAGAAATGTGTTACGCACCGTAAGGAGGTTGGAGTTGAAGTCAACCCCGAACCTCCCCGTGTGTGGGACTCGCCCTCAACCGATTTGCGTCGGTGAGGGAATACCCACTAAAACTCTATCTGCCCGAGCGATGGAAGTGCTCGGACGCGGCTTTATTTCGTGGTGCTGTCTTAGATGGTGGGAGACCACGTTCTCCAAAAGATGTGCGCGAGATGATGCCAAGGCTACCCTATGCCTTCTCTTCTACCTGCAGAGTTAATACCTGTATAACCACTGATGTGCGTGGTCATTTTATTCCACCGGAGCCAATTCATGTACGAACCACGGAGAGCTCTAAACGTGATGGAATCCAAACATTTGCTCAATCCGAGTTCGCACAGACTCGCGGCGGAAGCAGCGGACCAGATACCCCGCCAGGAGATCGTGATCGAAGAGAACGAGATGTTATCGTTCTCGACCCCATACTCACTGGCGACCTGATGACGAATGTCAGGGGTATCATATTTAGCGACTTTCCGACGGTGCGAGTCGTCAAGGGACGATGAAGCGCTGATGACTTGCGCATCGATCACCTTGACAACCTGATCCTTTACAGCGACGATATCTGGCTTCCGCAAGCCTTCTCTGGTATGAAAGTGCGGCTCCTGCCGGACACTCCATCCCAACTGCCGGAGGCTACTGACTGCGATACGGCAAATTGCATCGTGTCGCAGTATTCGGCCTCCATGAGTGCGGTGACAGCCCTGAATGACGTGAGCTGCGGTTTCATTAGTACCACAGCCCGCTCGACACTCGATAGGCGGGCCACCGACTACGCGTCTGCCGCGTGATGTTCGAACGCGAGTTGGGAGAGTATTGACCCGTACGTGATGGAATTGTACATAGTCTCGTCCGGAGAGGGCCGCGCTGTTACGGTCTACCCACGAGTGGCTCGCACGAACACGAGCACACTCGGAGAGTTCCTTGCCATCATTCGCTTGATGGAGTAGCGAAGCCCAGTACTTGCCACGAGCCTCCTGGCCGATAAGAGGCCGCCCATGAAAGGACAGCGCCGTTTCGGCCCATCGGATCGAAGCCTGCACCGAGCGATGACAAAAGACACCTCTAACGGCGGCACAGGAAGACTCAGCCATATCCGAAAGCCTTGAATGAACCAAGGCCGGAATAGCTGTTCGGAAAGATGGAATTCCGAGTCCCCCGTCTAAACACCGCGCGTGGAAGTATCCAATGGGAACATCTTTTGGTAGCCGTAACCACTTGCGAACCGCAGCGCGTACTTGTCGGTCAAGACTCTTAAGAGTTTGAAGATGGCATCTCGACAAGACTAACTGGTGGTAAAATCGCGGCACGAGGAAGCAACGTAAGATCTTTAAACGCTGCTGGGGCTTTAGAGGAGCCGAGGCGATGTTAGCCAACTCCCGAACTAAAGTACCCCCGGTCTTCCGGATACCAGGGGAGAAAAATGCACCCCAAGGTATCTAAAGTGCTCGGTAGGGCCAAGCTGACGAATAGGCCCTCCGCCAATCTGAAAGCTTTCAGCAGTCGACACTTTATATGTCTTCCGCTTAGTGGAAATCAAGATTGACATCGCGATGCACGACCAAAAGACAGTCCACGAAAGTCGCAGAGATTACGCATTTGACAATTGCGAGAAAAAATTCGGTCAAAAATCGACTTAGCTTCTTCACCAAACAGTAATTCACGAAGGTCTCAAGGATTACCCGTGTGACATATGCGAGAAAAAATTTGGAAAGAAGTCTAATTTGCTCGTTCACCAAAGGATAGTACACGAAGGTTGTAAAAATTTTGCATGTAATGAGTGTGAAAAGAAATTTGGAGCTCCAAGCAATTTGTACAAACACCAAAAATTAGTCCATAAAATTCGCTGATTATTTTATTATCGAAAGTTAATGTTTAAAAGTAGTTTAAAAATTTAACTGAGAAAAAAATGAAATACTTAGTAACCGCAAATGCAAATGGTTATACTGTAACAAATCCCTCCAATCGCTGCACGAATAATAAAAGCATCTCAAGAACTTTTGCGTCAACTAAAACTACAAACAAAAAAGAAAAGAAGTATATATTATGACGGAGTGCGAGGATTATAAAGTAATAGATAAAGAAAGGAACGCATAAGTATCGTTAAAGTCGTAGAGAATTATATACTATATTTAACGCTAGTGAACAATCAATCTATTGTATTCGCTGATTGTTGTATAGTTTTAATTTTAAGACGAAAAGAAAACGCAATTGAAATCGCAATGAAATATGTAGACACGGCAGATGAATCAAACACGAGCTTTTTTTCTATGATAATTAAAACGAGGATATTCAATTTAATAATATTGACTGAGATTAGGAGTGAAGGAGAGAAAATGAAAATTTATTCGGCAAATTGAGACGACCTCACCTTTGTGTAAATTTTTTAATATCAATTCTAGATGTTAATTGAATGCCAAAAACACGAAAGACTTTCGCGTAATTATATAGTCAATCGTTTCTTTTGGAATCTTTGGAAATTTTGTATCTTTAAATTTTATTGTAATTAAACGTATTGTGAGATGTAAATATTCATGTTGATTTCGACAAAATACATAAGTGAATTAAAAAAAAAAAGCAAAGTGATCTCTACTCGTTGTACAGGACTTTTCTCTGGATAGGCGGGCATCGTGTCATCCGGATGGAAGCGATCAAAACCTATAAACATTTCTACTTGAATAAAAAAACATTTCAGCTTCATTTTTTTATAATAAAAATTATTCTTCTGAAGCTCACTCGAAATCGATCTGTCAATTTCGGCTCTTTATTCTCGAGGATCCAATTCATCGGTGACAATAACAGTGCTGAAAGAAAAAAAAGTCTCGAAATTCTCTTGATTCCATTATGATTAATATACCTTTCAAATCACCAAAAATGCCAAAAATGGCTCGAGACGGCGTAGAAAACAAGTAGAAAACTTTACCAGCTCGCTGTTGTCGAATAAAATAGAATTGACTCCGTATTATATGATATAATTGTAAGTTGACTGTTTTATTAAGAGGGAACACCAAAAGAAAAATAATAAAAAAATCCGAACGACGATCGAGGGGAAGAAAAAAAAGTTAAACTATTAAACGCCGTATACGATACGTATACATTTTGGATTACTAAAAGAAAATAAGATTAAAAAAATATCAATGAAAAAATGTAATGGATAATAATAAAAAAAATTGTCATTATTATCAAAAATGTGTGGGTTTGTTTCTTGTCCATATCTCAATCGTTTAATTTTTGCTCATTGAATCATAAATATTACTATCATTAATATGATATGATTTGTTGAGACCTTATAATCAGAACGCCAGGAATCAGCAATGATGTAAAAAGCATGACTTAACCTTCTTTTTTGCAATGGAATATAGTTTTAATGAACTTTTGATTTTTTGATAGATCTTTTATTTCTTTTAGATAAAATATCACTTTTTGAAAAATGATTGTTATTCACGAGGAAGATCGATAGCGTAATCTTGTTCCCCTTACTTTCATACCAGTTTCTACATCATGATTTATAAATATTATTGAACTGAGTTTGAGCTATTTCGACTCGTAACGTTAGTATTGACAGAGTAAGTCGCAAATAACATTTCTAACGAGTAAGATGGAATCGAGCAACGTATTCAATACTGCTGTTAGGTAATGTTTATTTTATGAGTTTAAATTTATAAAAATGTTGAAACATAATCATGTAATTTTATCAAATGTATTTCAGAGTGAAAAATGAGCCACTTGATGATAATGATTACAAAATAATTGACACGATACCCGTCACTCAAAATATTAAATGCGAGATGTTTCGGCAAGAAAATTCAGTAAGTGTTAATAATTACGTTTGACTATCATTAATGTCACTTTCTTATAATAATTTTAATTTTTTCAGACCCAAGAGCTTTTTCAAGAATATGACGAAAATCAGGAAAATGAACTTGACGACCTGGAAATCGAAATGGAATGTACCGACATCAAGCCTAATTTATTATTAGTTGCGAAAATTGAAGATCATTCTCCAAATCAATGGCAGGATAGCGATGTTTATAAAAACGGAAGCAAAATAAAACTTGAAACTGTCGGAGCAATGAAGAAAGAAGTTTTTTGTAAAGAAGGAACTGATTTGAATTTCGGGCGTGGACTCAGCGAGCAAAATAAACAAGGAACTGTTTCAAAAGAGCTGAACAATGAAAATAGGCTCAAAACTCACAATGATACTACGCATAATAAAATCACACATGATTGTGATATTTGCGGAAAATCATTCAAATATAAGTGTGATCTCCAAAGACACATGAATTCGGTGCATCGTAAAATAAGGCATGCATGCAACATATGCCAAAATACGTTCTCAGAGAAGAAAAGTCTCAGAAATCACATCGATTCGGTGCATAATGAAGTCAGACATGCGTGCGATAAATGCCCAAAGAAATTCTCAGACAAGGGTAATCTCAGAAGGCACATCGATTCGGTGCATCGTAAAATAAGGTATCGATGTGATGAATGTGGGAAATCATTCAGATATAAGGGTCATCTCCAAAGACACATCGATTCGTTACATCGTAAAATCATGCATCCATGCGATATATTCCAAAAGACATTCTCAGACAAGAGTAGTCTCAAAACGCATATGGACGCGCTACAAAATGGAATCACCCACGCATGTGATAAATGCCAAAAGACATACTTAGACAAAAGTAATCTCAAAAAGCATATGGATGCGGAGCACAGTGTAATCACCCATACATGTGATATTTGTAAAAGAAAATTTAAATATCGAAATAGTCTCGCTAGACATAACAGATTGTCTCATAATGGTACCACTTATTCATGCAAGACATGCGGCAAGACATTTAGACAGAAAAGAAATCTCAGAGCCCACATCGATATGGCGCATCGCTCGCTCAATATGACCTAATAAATGTTTAAAATTTATGTTGAATTAAGTTACAAATCAAAATGTAAGATCAAGTGTATCTCTTCAGACGACTCAATTAATAATTTTTATTAATTCTATGAAGAATTTATGTTACTTCACTGTTACATATGGAAAGATATAAAAAACGTCCACGTAACACTTCCAATGCAATTTCTTTATTTTTGAGAAGTTGCGGCCACTATAAGTTTTATGAATGTTCTTTCGTACTCGATGTTACTTGCTATCTCTCCACTATCGTGAGAATTATATTTTGCTCAAATTTATTAAACATCGTCGCGATCAGACTCGACTCTCTCGCTATGGTACGATGTCTCGGTGCAAAGCCGGTGGCCTAAACAAAGGCTTATAAGTCTTCTTCGAGCTTTTTCAACGTCAAGTTGGGTCGTCCCCGTGGTGCTTCGGAAAGGAACTCCCAAATTTCGTTATTATCACCATCGGTCGTACGCGAATTACTATCATTACAGCCTCTGCTTGAGACTCCTCGGAGGAGAGTCTAATTCAGGTTCTCTGAAAATAGCCAGAGGTATGAGCTGCAAAGTAATGTACTGTGGCAAATCTTGTGAGATTCAACCTCTCGGCTGCTCCGAACGTCGAAAGTATTACTGCCGGGCTAAATTTGTCAGCTTGTGAGGTAGTATTTAGCTTTTTTAAAGGATGTGACTCGGAGAATAAAGAACCGTAATTCCAATTCCATGATCAACTCATCGAATCCATCTCTTACACTAACGAATTATCCTTCCTTCCTTTTTTACGTGAAATTATTCCAATGAACTCGTTTTCATATTTTTTTAATTTCTTTGAAAATAAAATATTATTTATAGGGAAATGATGTTTATTCATGAGTTACATCGCTAACGTAATTTGTCCAAAATTAGGGATTTTTTAGCATTCTCCAAATGATCCGTTTAGGCAGTATGGGAAAATAAAATGAGTTAAAAACACATTATATTTCCGTTTTTCGGCAAAGACTGCCGAAGTCATTTATTAGCCAAGTAATTTGTCCAATGTTATGAAACTAATGTTGATTCATTTCGATTAGTTTCAATTCCCACATCGCGATTCGTAAATATTATCAAACTGAGTTTGAGCTATTTCGACTCGTAACGTAGGTATTGAAAGAGTAAGTCGCAAATCAGATTTCCAACGAGTAAGATGGAATCGAGTAATGTATTAAATCCTACCGTTAGGTAATTTTTATTTTATAAAAATTATGTTACGAAACTCTTATACTAAAATAATTAAGCTAACTAAATTTATTTCAGAGTTAAACATGAGCCTCTTGATGAACCTTTCAACGATGATAATGATTACAAAATAATTGACACTACACCCGTTACTCATAATGTTAAATACGAAAGTTTTTGGCGAGAAAATTCAGTATGTGTTGATAATTATATGCAACTATAACGATAAAACTTTTCATGAAACTTTTCTCATAATTTAAATTTTTTCAGGGCCAAATGCTTCAAGAAATTGACAAAAATCATGAAAATGAATATGACAACATCCAAATCGAATTGGAATGTACAGACATGAAGCCCAATTTATTGGCAGTTGTGAAAATTGAAGATTATTCTTCAAATCAATGGCCGAATAGTGACGAGTATAAAACTGGAAGCAAAATTAAATTAGAAACTGTTGGGACAGTAAAGAAAGAAGTTTTTGGTAAAGAAGAAACTGATTTGAATTTCGGACGTGGACTTAGCGAGCAAAATGAAACAAGAAGTGTTTCAAAAGAGTCGAACTATAAGAGGAGTCTCAAAGCACATGTGGGTATAGTGCAAAGTGGTATCAATCATGCATGCGATATATGCCAAAAGACATTCTTAAAAAAATGTGATCTCAATAGGCACATAGATTCGGTGCATAATGGTGTCCGGCATGCATGCGATAAATGCCCAAAGACATTCTCAGACAAGAGTTATCTCAAAAAGCACATTGATTTCGTGCACAATCAAGTCCAACATGCATGTAATAAATGCCCAAAGACATTCTCAGGTAAGGGTTATCTAAAAAAACACATCAATTGGATGCACAAGCGAGTCGGACATACTTGTGACATTTGTGGAAAGACATTCGCACACAAAAGTAATCTCAATACTCACATCGAATCGATACATCATAAAATCGCGCATCCATGTGATAAATGTCAAAAGACATTTTCAGGAAAGGGTTATCTCAAAAAGCACATCGTTTCGGAGCATAATGGTTTCCCTAATGCGTGTGACATTTGTGGGAAGACATTCTCACAAAAAAGTAATCTCAAAACTCACATCGATGCGATGCATAATAGTGTCAGACATGCATGCGATATTTGCGAAATGAAGTTCACATCAAAGTATTATCTCCAAAACCATATCGATGCTGTGCACAATGGAATCGGCTTCGCATGTGATATGTGCACAAAGAAATTTACTGCGAAAAATAGTCTTAAAGCCCATATCGATGCGGATCACAATGGAATCACCCACGCATGTGATTTCTGTGTAAAAAAATTTAAATATCAAACTCAACTCCGTAAGCATGTCAAATCGTCGCATAGTGATATCATACATTCATGCGAGACATGCGGTAAGACATTTGGACAGAAAAAAAATCTCAGAGCTCATCGATGCGGCGCATCGCTTACGCAATGTGACCTAATAAATGTATCGAAAATACTATAAAAACAATACATTTTAATATAAAAAGAGCCAGAACATGTTTCTCAAACAATAAATCGATGTATCCCTTAGCTTTATAATTTGGCTTTGAGTCTTAGTTCTTATCAAATTCTCTACTCTTCTGATAATCTGTACCGATGGTTCACAATATGACACTGACGACTTTACTGAATATCATATATCAAACCGGTTCTATATAAATTTTTTTGATAAAAAAAAGTGTCCTTTTTTTCTTTTCATGTCACACCCATTTCAGTATTTTATACTGATAATTCAAATTCATTTCAAAACAATTTTCAAGAGTTTTTTTTATAAAGTTATCCTTTCAGCCGAGTTAAACAAATTTTCTCAAATTTACCAAAAAGTACCGAACTAAAAAATTAAACAATCTCATTTATGGAAGGATGCCTTTTGTAAAATTCAGAGTCGTTTCTCCGTCTTTGGATTTAAAAATTCGATTCGATTTCGACCGAAAAAATCAGCTGCATCAACAATAGTACACGTACTTGTTAGTAGCAATGCAAACTGCAACGATGTTTACGCCGATTGCCAAGGGAGCGCTCACGCACTAAGGCGAACTACGAGTGAAACAGCAATCGAGTGCGAGCGAAAATTTTTATAATGTACACTTGAATCAATAAAAAGAGATGATAGAAACCTCATTACTGAAGAGCATCGACATTTTACCATTTTTAAGTTCTGTTACCTCTTGAAGGCTGGATTATAGAATAATAAATAAAAAGAATTTATTGATGTAATTTTTAAATTATATGATCTGTAATAAAAAAGTGTTTATACATTGATTAACGACTATAACAAATAATAATTTTTTATTTTTTGTACTTTATGTATAATAATTTATCCATTGCAGTAGTCTTATATTAGTATGACAAATCGTATAGTTAAATTTGCTCTAACATAGTAATTTTCACGATATATTTAAGAATTGGCCACGATTGATAAAAACATAGTAACGTTTTCTCTTCAATTAATCTTCGACTCTTCGATTCTTTACAAAATAATATATATACTTTTTTTAAACAAGTAATGTTTACGCAAAAACGGTAAATCAAAAAATTCATTTTTCTGTCTCTTTTTTCACTTTGCCGCTACGTTTAGGCTGTCGCGAGCAAAAATAGTATTTTGAACCGGTGCAAATATAGTTTTATAACGAATCATAACTGCACCATGAAAAATATACTATCGTTTGCAACATTTTAGAAATATTTCATTAAGATCCGGATTCAGTATCAGTTCCAAACTAAACCATAAATCGATCAATTATTGCACAGTTTCTGAATCAAGCTCAAGATTTTTTCGTCAAATTCGATGCCGTCCATTTAATAATTGTCAGCCCGTACGTAGTATTGGTCGAGCTGATCGTTGCACCATTCCGGCAGTTTCGCGTCGACGTACTGGCCCATACCCACGAGCAGCAAATCGACCATTTCGCTCGAGTATCTCGACAGCTCGTGAAACCGATTCCTGGGATGATTCAGCTGTATCTGCCATGTGGCGTAGGGACTGAGTACGGGCTTATTGACGGCTATTTTATCGTAAATCATGTTGGTGGTAGCTGGCGCGTGACTCTCGCGATGTTCGGCCATCGAGTATTTGATGGTCTCGCTGACGCTTGGAATCGTGTACACCCGGTCGTCGCATCTGTACAACGAGCGACCCAAATGGATCAGGGTGAGGCTGTAGTCTCGCAACGATTCGCGTAATTCAAGTTGGACTGTTTTATTCGGCGATGTAAAGTCGATACCGATTTTGTTGAATTTTACGGCGTTGCCTTCGAATCCGTGCCTGATATCAGCTTTTAGCGTCACTTTCTGCCCGTGCAACAATTTCTCGATATTAGTCTTGTGCTCGTCGTGCTTCCACGCGTAGAATGGCTCCGTCTGTCCTTCCGTACCATCGAAAGCGATATTTTGATGCACGAATTGATCGTGGTCGTAGATCACGGAGTTGGATTTCAACAGTTCGTTTTTCAATTGGCCAAGTTGGTTCGAGACGTAGCTCGCTGTCTCGTTGGTGTCGTTGTTGGTCGTCAGATTCTGCGGCAAGTCGTAATAGCCGAAAAAGGCCCGAGCGAACGGAAAGACGTTGCGCTTGACGGCACCGGTGGCCACTTTGTAATGCTGCATCACCACATTGTTTTGGATCACGAGCATCAAATCATTGACCGCCACGTCGATCTCGTTATTGCCCGTAACGACTGGCTTGGCCGGATGGGCGTTGATGTTGGCGATGAATCTGCCGAGCCCGATCTTGTATTGGTACTCGTCCATGATTTTGAACAATTCCACCATGACGTCTATGCCATCCGAAACTTTGGTGAAGATTTGCATGATTTTTGGCTGCACTTCGAAACCGTTGGTCATTTCTTTGATATGCCTCGCGATGCCTGTCAAGGAGCTCTGGATCTGCCACCGGCCGACGACGAGACCCGCCGATGATTTGCCTTCGAGCTGTTCCCGCGCCTCGTCGACACTGGCTTGGACCTCTTTGCATAAGGGAACGATGATACTGTAAACTTGGCGCTCGTATCGCTGCAGTTGATTGATTTCTTTAGAGACATTTTGAATGGCGATTCCGACCGCTGTGATTTTCTGCTGTTTATCCGTAATCGCCCTATAGGTGTTAATGGAAGTGTCAGCAATGCTCAATACACTCTGAATTTTGGTAACTATATTCATTTTGTCAACCGCATTCAAATCTTGTTCAACCAATTTTTTCTTCAATTCTTCACTCTTTTCCAAGCATAACTCTTTAATCTCATTTCTCAAGGAATTTATTCTATCAACGGAAGCTGAATCTAATGTCTCGCCTTTGTTTTTTTCATTCTTCAATGCCTTTAGATGATCTATGATTTTTTTATGAATGTCTTTCAAATCGACTCTTTTTTCTTCCGATAATTTGAACAACGTAGCATTGGCATCAAGCAGTTGTTGTTGGAGTAGCTCTTTTTTGTCCTTAAAATACTTTGCCATTGGCTCCAGAGATTTCTTAAGCACAGCTGGTAAATGGAGCAAAACAGTTTCATCGACATCTACAGAATCGACAAGCACAGATTCGGACATAGAAGTAACTCCGACAATGCCCGTACTTACTGCCGTTCCGAGTGGACCCAAGAAATTCAAAAATAAACCCGCCATTTTGATTACACCGAATACTCCGTTCATAATCATCTGTTTTTTCAACTTTTCTTTTTTCTTGATCAATTCCTCCTTTTTGTGGTAAGCAGCCTCCTGAAGACGAACAACTTCATCGACCAAGTCGTCCACTGTTTTGTCCAACTCCGTAGTAGTGCTTGAGATTTCCGGTATTACGACGTCGGTCAAGTAATGCTGAGCGTCTTTAGTTTTTACCTCGAATTCTTGCAGATAATTCTTTTTGTATCCATGGATAGTCTGGGCATTTTTTAACTGTACTTGAAAGTCGACGTCGCGCTTGATCGAATCCAAAAAGTTATCCAAGTCAACAACCAAATTAGAGCCGGCATTATTTTCCAAATTCACGATCTTACTCAGTGCAGCAGTGTACAGGTACCGAAGCACAATGACTTTGTCTCGTGACAGCTCCTTCAAATCCTCAAGCCGTTTTACGTACTTTGAGATGTGATCTATCAAGAATCGATAAGCTAATAGCGACATCTTGGGGCTCATCTTCCAGAATTGATCCTCGAGTCCTCGGAATTCATCTATTAATCCTGAGACGTCATAAAAATCGACGACAGCTTCACTATCGGCTAAAAGCCTGGAGAATTTTTCCAAAAATGACCCTCGCATATTGTCCACCTGATGTTCTCTGAGATAACGTTTATAGCTGTTGATGGAATGACCGAACGTCGCTGGCTTCAGTAATTCCCATCGTTTGCTATTCAAATCGGTCAAGTTGCGTGCATTACTCGAACTACCCACAATAATATCGACCATCAATCTGTACGAAGGATGGACATGTACGTTTGGTTTCGATGTCTCCAATCCAATGATCGTTACAGTACCTGCGTCGTCTTTTTCCGATGCAAGGCCTTTCGAATTTTGGGCGATCTGTATTAAACTGCTGACATCATTATGATGCGTTGATGCGAATCTGCCGTGGTCATCGGCGTAGTCATTACCAAAACTGTGCAAGAATCTGTCCCTGTCATTAAGAGAACTCGCGAAGAATCTGCCAATACCAAGAAAATTACTTTTGTGAAGCATTTGGATCCACACATTACGATTGACCAAATCCCAAATTGGGGCTACGATCGTCCAATGTACATCTTTCATTGTGTCAAAACTTTCATCAAAAAATATTTTATTAAAAGCGAATATTTCAATGAAATTTGCCTGGCTGCATTCGGATTCTTCGCTCCACATACGACGTACATGTGACGTACTGATGTACGAACCGATGATTGTTAATTTTTCGGATTTTTCATCGCACTCTATTCTCGTGTTATTGTGCATCAACGTTGCAGATAATAATTTTTGTAACGCCTTCAATTTCGGTACTTCCAAGTTATTATATTTCAAGTCTTTGATATTGAGGGTATGGTTTCCATGTATTGCATTCAAGAAGTTTACCAAACTTCCGCTGATGTTATTCTTTTTATTGCGCTTGGCCGTTTCTATGTCCACGAGTAGTTTCGACTTTACCACTTCGTATCGACTAATATCTTTCTGTATTATCCAATCGGACAAAAATTCTTGATCTAAATAAAATAAGAATTCATACCATTCGTACGATGGATGCACGTACTCCTGCGCAGGCATTAATTTTTCGATAATCGACGTCATATTTACTGGCACATCGGTTCCTTCGAAGAAAACCAAGTACTTTGCGCGGTTGACAAATAATTCGAGACTTTCACGAGGCACATCGACGCTTAATTTTCTTAAGTTTTCGACGACGAATTTAATCGCTTCTTCGGCATTCATCGCTTCGTTCGCTAGTCCTATATAAATATGGTTATATATTTTATCTGCACGCTGGAAGTAGAAAAATAATTTTTTCAAGTCGGGCTCTTGTTCTTCGACCGCTGCGTGAGTAACGATCATATCTCGTCCGATCTGTCCGTATCCTTCGGATAATTTTCGTCTCAGTAGATCGATCAGACTGTCGCAAATGCTCGGCTCGTCGTGGCATGGCGCGTAGATAAAATCATTGCCATCTAGACTCGCAAAGTGAATCGTTTCGTAGATCATGCGCTCCAGATCTTTCATTTTGTAACTCTCCAAAGAGCTACCACTTGGACTCTCGATGAATCCCAATCCATTCCAATCGTCCTTTCCCTCGTATTCGATGTGTAACGCATCGATGATCGAGGCAATTTTGTTCGATCTGTTAGGTGAGCTGAGCAGGTTTTTCAAATGATCCTTAACTTTTTGAATTTGCTGCTCGTTCTGTACTTGCGTGACGATGAGACCGATGCTGCCCAGAAATTTATTGGCATCCTCGATGGATTCTGCGGCTTTTTCCAAGAGAGTGTCGATCTGCTTATGGAACGAGGGAAAATCAACGAGTAGAAGCAGCTTTACTGCACTTACCAAGTTGACAATCTTGCTGGTAAAATAAATTCTTGGTATGCGTTGCGTCGATTCGATTTCCTCGTTTACAATGGAGAAGTCCAAAAATTGAGTTTTCGTACGAGTATTCAGCATCAAGTGCGGCAAAATTGTTGCTTTGGGGGTCAAGTCAACGAATTCAGAGGCGCGATCACTGATAAAGTCCTCCCTCGCTTTGGAGCTTCCCACGAGGAGTACCAGATCTTGACCAGGTAAACCAACATCCTTTTCAAAATCGTCGAATTCCTCTTGGCCCAGGATAAATCTATCCAATATTTCTTCAGGCAATTCGTCATCCTTTAAGGAATGTACACGTTGGTGACTGAATAAACTCAGCAACAATGTAGAAAAAATTAGCCCAATACGCATGGTAAAGACCTTTACGTCGTAGAAAATTAAAATTAAACTTTCTTTTGTAGCGTTACTTGCCTGAAATTCCCCTAGTCGATAATTAGGAGAAATATGGGAAAAAATCCGGATTTCGGCGTTTTAAAGCGAAAAAGTGCACATGTTGCACGCAAAAGTAATAATTTTAAACTTTTTTAGTACACAAAGCAATGACGTATATTGTGCCTAAAAATTTTCCTGCTCCAACAGATCGTGATAATTTGAAAACAATTTATTGCCATATGATTTTGAATACATTTTTTTTGTACATTTTCCTTTATTGTCATCAGCTTCGTAACTGTAAGGAATATTTTAGAAGAATTTAATACTTTAAAATATTCCATCTTATTGCTTGAAATTAGTGGAAAAGATGTCTCTCATTTCTGAGCTACGGCGTAAGACAGCTTTGATCACTAATGTAATGTGAGAAATATTTTAGGGCTAATATGATATTATGATTTTATATTACTATTTACAGTATTAGACTAAAAAAGTAAAATATATTTTTTTTCAAACAGGCATAGCAGTTTTCTCGATTGTTTATTTGGAAGTACTTTAAGGTGACTCTTCACCTTCAAACGTGTTTCTATACAAGGTCTTGAAATGATAGGAGTACGTTAATGAGTAATCTATAACTATCTCTATTTAACACAACTCGTTACAGCACTCGCCTTCGGCTCGTGCTATAATCCCTCGTTTTGCTAAAAAACCATATGTGCACCCGTTGAGAAATATACTATTTTTACGCGGAATATTTGACAAGATACGTGAGCGTTTTTTAAGCATTATGTAAGTTTTACGATTTTAAAACTTTCGGACTAGATCGAAAGAAATAATACTTCTGTCTGATAAAAAAAAGTAGAAAGGTAAACAAATGTAATCTATTACTAGTCAATTTCATTAATAATAATTGAATCAGAACGTAGATAAATCGATCTGCCGCTAAAATATGGATGATCATGAATCTATACGAAAAAATCGAATTATCATGATTCAAAATGTCGAGCTTCGACAGTACACCTATCAAAACTCGTGATACTTTGAGTCATAAAAATTTGACAGTTATAGAGAAGTAGAAGTCGCTAGCGCATCTGGCATAAAACGTGTTTTGCAGGCATCGTAAGTTTTACGACTTTAAAACTTGAAAAAAAAATTTTTTAGTTCGACAGAAAGTGAAAAGAGCACATGCTTATCGAAGTACATCGGGGCTTAGATTATATTATTTACCGAGTTCATAATATTATGCTTGAAGACTCGACTGGAAAGATTATTTACAGCTCTGAAGCGGAACTTGCACGTAGGCTACCAAACACTTCAAATATCATCTATCTGAATCGTTTTAGAATGAAGAAAGCTACCTACTACATCTTATACGGTCAAATTCAAAGAATCAACAAAAATTTAAATCTCCAATTGAAAGAACAATAAACGAATAGCCTTCACTTTTTTTGTTTCGAGAGTTAGATACAATTATCAGTAAATTAAACATCTACATAATTCAATGATTACATTGACAATTTATAATAAAATAAAGTAAATGAAAATAATATTCAAGTTAAAATTATAAAATTGTAATAACTGAAAAAACTGTTATTTAATCTAAAACTGAATAATTAGAAATAATAATAATACAGTAAAACAGGAATTACTTAGAACTAATACTGTATCAATGGTGAACTCGAATTAAAAAAAAAACTTTAATACTTGACACAAAGAAGCGGGCGTTACAATCAATTGTAGTAATTGCTTTCACTCCTGAACATGTTCAGCTGTCTAGAATAGCTCGCGAACCGAGGAAGATCGCGGATCTATCGCAGCACGAGATTTTCGTGGAAAACTATTTTATTTCAGAAGCATTATGTCCTCGCCCAGCGACGATGAATGCTTCGTTCTCTGGTGCTCGACGGGTTCCGAAGACGAGGAGCAACTTGGAAAAGTCGACGTAGAAAAAGTGAAGCGCCCACGAGGCACAGCGACGATTGGGCGGTGGAGCAGTTCCTCGAGAGATCTGCGACAAGAAGCGCCAAGAGGTGCGGCACGATGCGCGGGATAATTTGGACCGTACACCTCTGCAATTTGATGTACTCTTGGATTGTTGGGCCGATCTGTCCAACTTCGTTTTCCCCGATAAGAGTTACTTTGAGCCGAGATTTTTCTGGGAAGACGACGACGATACGTTCAGGACATTTTACCGAGCTTCCGGTGCTACGGACGTGGTCGAAAGTCTCGAAAAAAGAGGATACCAACTGAAACGAGACGACGTCCTGACGATCATGAAGTACTGACGCGCCATCGGGTGCCAATCAGGTGCTCCGAGACGATCCTCGGGCAGCTAAGTAACAAAGATTCATGACATATTTGCTTGGCAGCTACACTGACGAATTCACAAGGACAGTAAAAATATTATAATAACATAAGATCTGTGAATTGAAAAAGCTGCAGAAAAGCTCCAAATAATCTACAAGATTATGAATGCTAAGAAATTTCTCTTTATATCATCGCTGTAAAACTATAAATGATAGTAATAACATTAATATCAAAGATGTTGAAAATAATTGTTCAAATCTTACAAATAATAATAAATCAACCATGATTTTGTGCATAATGGTGTCAGACTTGCATGTGATTTCTGCGAAAGAAATATAAATGTCAATCTGATCTCGTTTGACATAATAAATTGTCTCAAAGCATACATCGATGTGGCGCATTGCTCACTCAGTATGGGATAATAATTGTTTAAAATTTATGTTGAATTAAGTTACAAATTCAAATGTTAGATCAACTGTATCTCTTCAGACGACTCAATTAATAATTTTTATTAATTCCATGAAAAATTTATGTTACTTCGCTGTTATAAATAACGTCCACGTAACACTTCGAATGCAGGGAAAGTTGCCGAAATCGAGAGGACTGCACTTATCTTATAATATCGTTCGTTTCTTTATTTTTGAGAAGTGGTAGCCTCAACAAATTTTACGGATGTTCTTTCGTACTCGATGTTACTTGCTATCTCTCCACTATTGTGAGAATTATATTTTGCTCAAATTTATTAAACATCGTCGCGATCAGACTCGACTCTCTCGTTATGATACGATCTCTCGGTGCAAAGCCGGTGACCTAACTAAAGGCATATATATTCTCCTTCAAGTTCTTTCACCGCCGCGTTGGATTGTCCCCATGGTTCTTCGAAAAGGAACTCCCAAATTTCGTTATTATCACCATCGGTCGTACGCGAATTACTATCATTACAGCCTCTGCTTGCGACTCGGAGGAAGAGAGTCTAATTCAGGCTCTCTGGAAATAGCCAGAGGTATGAGCGGCAAAGTAACGTCCTGTGGCAAATCTTGTGAGATTCGATCTCTCTGCTGCACCGAACTTGGAACGTATTGTTGCCGAGCTAAATTTGTCAGCTTATTAGGTAGTATTCGGCTTTCTTAAAGATGTGACTCGGAGTATAAAGAACCGTAATGCCAATTCCATGATCAACTCATCCAATCCATCTCTTACACTAACGAATTATCCTTCCTTCCTTTTTTACGTGAAATTATTCCAATGAACTCGTTTTCATATTTTTTTAATTTCTTTGAAAATAAAATATTATTTATAGGGAAATGATGTTTATTCATGAGTTACATCGCTAACGTAATTTGTCCAATGTTATGAAACTAATGTTGATTCATTTCGATTAGTTTCAATTCCCACATCACGATTCGTAAATATTATTAAACTGAGTTAAAACTACTTCGACCCGTAATGTTAGTATTGAAAGAGTCAGTCGCAAATCAGATTTCCAACGAGTAAGATGGAACCGAGCAATGTATTAAATCCTACCGTTAGGTAATTTTTCTTTTATAAAAATTATATTACGAAATTATCATAATAAAATAGTTAATCTTACTTAATCTATTTCAGAGTGAAAGATGAGCCTCTTGATGAATCTTGCAATGATGATAATGATTACAAAATATTTGACCCTACACCCGTTACTCAAAATGTTAAATACGAAAGGTTTTGGCGAGAAAATGTAGTATGTGTTGATAATTATGTGCAACTATCACGATAAAACTTTTCATAAAACTTTTCTCATAATTTAAATTTTTTCAGGGCCAAATGCTTGGAGAAATTGACAAAAATCATGAAAATGAACTTGACGACATCCAAATCGAATTGGAATGTACAGACATGAAGCCCAATTTATTGGCGAAAATTGAATATTTCTCTCCAAATCACGGACAGTATAGTGATGATTATAAAACTGGAAGCACAATTAAATCAGAAACTGTTGGGACAGTGAAGAAAGAAATTTTTAGCGAAAAAGAAAGTGATTTGAAGTTAGGTTATGGACTCTGCGAGAAAAATGAAACAGGAAGTGTTTCAAAAGAGATTAACTATAATCATAGGCTAAAAACTCAGACTGAATCAGCCCGTAATGGCAATATCATACCTTCATGTGGTATTTGCGGAAAAGTGTTCAAACGAATAGGTCATCTCAATAGGCACATCAACTTGGTGCATCGTAAAATAAGACATGCATGCGATATATGCCAAAATACGTTCTCAGAGAAGAAAAGTCTCAGAAATCACATCGATTCGGTGCATTATAAAATTATGCATCCATGTGATGTATGTCAAAAGACATTCTCAAACAGGAGTAATCTCAGAAAGCACATCGAGTCGGTGCATAATAGTGTCAGATATGAATGCGATATATGCCAAAAGACATTCTCAGATAAGGGTTATCTAAAAACCCACATCGATTCGGTGCATCGTAAAATAAGACATGCATGCGACATATGCCAAAATACGTTCTCAGAGAAGAAAAGTCTCAGAAATCACATCGATTCGATGCACAATGGTGTCAAATATCCGTGCGATAAATGCCCAAAGAAATTCTCACACAAGAGTTATCTCAAAACCCACGTCGAATCGATACATCATAAAATTACGTATTCTTGCAATAAATGTCAAAAGACATTTTCAGAAAAGGGTTATGTCAAAACTCACGTCGATTCGGTGCATAATGGTGTCAGACATGCATGCGGTATTTGCCAAAAGACATTCCCACGCAAGGGTTATCTAAAAAAACACATTGATTTCGTGCACAAACAAGTCCGTCATGCATGCTATATTTGCCAAAAGACATTCTCAAATAAGGGTTATCTAAAAAAACACATTGATTCGATTCATAATAGTGTCAGACATGCATGCGATATTTGTGAAAAGACATTCACAACAAAGAATTATCTCCAAAACCATATCGACGCTGTGCACAATGGAATTGGCTTCGCATGTGATATGTGCACAAAGAAATTTACTGCGAAAAGTAGTCTGAAAGCCCATATCGATGCTGAGCACAATGGAATCACCCACACATGTGATTTCTGTGGAAAAAAATTTAAATATCAGACTCAACTCCGTAAGCATGTCAAATCCTCACATAGTGGTATCGTATATTCATGCGAGACATGCGGCAAGACATTTGGACAGAAAAGAAATCTCAGAGCTCACATCGATATGGCGCATCGCTCACGCAATCAGACCTAATAAATGTATTAAGTTTATGTTCAATTAAGTTACAAATTCAAATGTACGATCACGTGGATCTCCTTAGACGACTGAATTAATAATTTTTATTAATTATATGATCAATTTCTCTGTAATGTGTTTTTTTTCTACCTATATAAAATGTTGCTCTCTCCTAAAGTCCTCGGCAGATGATCCGGTCGAGGCTGCAGACCCCTTGATAAGCTTGTGGCGTCGAGTCCATCCACGAGGACAGACTTACCATCTCTCGACTCTGTGTGACAATGATATGCGCCTAAGCACGAATTATTCTTCATTTTTTTACGTGAAATTATTCGATAATTGGACGTGTAATGAATTATAGTTGTTGCTAGGAACATTTCTTAGTGATCATTTATAGAAAAATTATTGTTATTCATGAGGTAGATCAATAACGAATTTCTTTAATGTTGAAACTAATGTTGCTTCATTTCCATTACTTTTAATTTACATATCAAGAGTAGTAAATATTATTGAATTCAGTTCTATTTCGACTCGTAACGTAAGTATTGTAAGTCGCAAATGATATTTCCATCGAGGAGATGGAATCGAGCAACGTATTAAATCCTACCGTTAGGTAATTTTTATTTCATGAGTATCAAAATATAAAAATATTGAAACATAATCATGTAATCTTAGTGATAAAAGAGCCTTGTGATGAGCCTCTCATTGATAATAATATATAATCAATTATAAAATAATTGGCACGACACCCGTTATTCAACATATTAATTACGGAAGGCTTTGGCAAGAAAATTCAGTAAGTGTCGATAATCATCAATAAAATTTTCCTAATAATTTTATTTTTTTTCAGACCCAAGAGCTTCTTCAAGAATGTGACGAAAATCACGAAAATGAACTTGGCGACGTACAAATCGGGTTGGAATGTACAGACATGAAGCCCAATTTATTTGCAGTTGCGTGTGGATCTCTTCGGATGACTGAATTAATAATTTTTATTAATTATATTATCAATTTCTCTGTAATTTGCTTTTTTTTCTACCTTTATAAAATGTGTATAGGCTCTTTCCTAAAGTCCTCGATAGCCGAGCTTTTCCAATTTCATTGAAAACTATTTACCGAAATTAAAAATCAGACATATTTCGTTGGCGAAAAAGTGTCCCTTCCAAAATTTAGAGTCATATCTTCGTTTTCAAATTTACGATTTCTACATCAAGAAAACTAACCGCATATACAGTTATACGCAATAAAATCGCGGGACATAAACTGCATAACTCGGAGCGAACTACTGGTGGAAAAAGAAGTAATTTAATTTGATTTCTTTACTGATGGGGTCGGAGTTATAACCTTATAGGGCCACGATGCAAGTACACAATAGATAGACAAAGAAATGAGTAAGAGCCACTATGTTTTATTACTTTGAAGCCAGAGTTTCGGTGAGCGATGTATACGGGGTAAAAGTATGGAAACACCTGGAAATTTTGCGAAATAAACACAGAAAAAAAGTCTTGTGGTTTTTTTTTCATTAACGAAGTCAATTTGGGGAAGCTAAAATACTAAAATACGCGAAGTGGCATCTTTCAGCACTGGCACGTCGACTTATTCTTAAATTATATGATCTTTAATAAAAAAGCGTTTATGTATTGATTAACTTACAAAACAAAAGAATATGTTTTATTTTCATAATGAATGTACCAATTTATTCATTACATTAGTATTTTTATTCAATAAATCAATGCACAAAAAAAATACCTCAAAAAAATTACTTCTACCACAAACCGTAGGAAAATTTGCTTTAAGGAGGTTCCCTTGCAAAGTTCGCAAGAAGTACATATATCAATATCGATAGATTTTGACCTCCCGAATCCAATGGTATAACCCTCATATGCCCAAGCCAGGCAAAATCTCGAGAAAAACGCGATCAAAGTTTCGAAAATTAACATGGGCAACATAGGAATTTATGAACTTTTGAGCTACATTTACAATTTATGAAAAAAAATCAAAGTTCGCAGAGGAATGATTATATACAAATTGTAGAGAAAGTTCTTATCTTTCAAAAACCGTGTCTCAAAGTAGAGGTAGCCTGTTGTTTTTTCAATATTTTTTTAATAAAAGACGCGAAAACACGACTTTTTCGGCTCGTTTTAGGGCTAGCAGACGACAAGCCAGCTAACTTAACCCATGTTACTGCGCGAACTCTCAATTGACTAGCGTGTTACCCGAGGGAACCTCCTTAACATAGTATTTTCAATAAAATGTTTGTAGAACAGCTTTCTTCTCCTTTTTTTCAAAATAATTTATTCTTAAAAATTGTTTTTAAAGAAATTTCATCAAGCTCTAGATTTTTTAGTCGAAGTGGATGTCGTCGATTTCATAATTCTCAGACAGTTCGTAGTATTTATCTAGCTGTTTGTAATTGTCAGATAGTTCGTAGTATTTATCTAGCTGTTCGTAATTGTCAGACCGTTCGTAGTATTTATCTAGCTGTTCGTTGCACCATTCTGGCTGATTCAATTTGACGTATTGGCCCATACCCACGAGCAGCAAATCGATCATTTCGCTCGAGTATTTCGACAGCTCGTGAAACCGATTCCTGGGATGAATCAGTTGTACCTGCCATGTGGCATACGGACTAAGAACAGGCGTATTATTGGCTATTTTTTCATAAACCATGTTTTTGATAACTGGGACGTGACTTTCACGATGTTGAGTCATCGAGTATTCGATGGTCTGCTTGGCATTCGGAATCATGTATATTCTGTTGTCGCATCTGTAAAATGAGTGGCCCAAATGGATCATGATGACTCTGTAGTCTTGCAACAATTCGCGTAATTTAAGTTGGACTGTTTTATTTGGCGATGTGAAGTCGATACCGATTTTATTGAATTTCACGGCGTTGCCTTCGAATCCGTGCTCTATGTCAGCTTTTAGCGTCACTTTCTGCCCGTGCAACAATTTTTTGATATTATTTTTGTGCTCATTGTGTTTCCACGTATAGAATGGCTTCGACCATCCTTCTTCGCCATGGAAAGCGACATTTGGAAGCACGAATTGATCGCGGTCGTAGACTATGGCTTTGTATTGCAACATTTTATTTCTTAATTTGTCAAGAAAGCTCGAAAAGTAAGTCATTATATCATCGTTGTGTTTCGAAGTCTTCAGAATATTTGGTAAATTATAATAACCGAAAAAGGCGTGAGCAAACGGAAAGACGTTGCGCTTAACGGCACTGGTGGCTACTTTATAATGCTGCATCACAACATTGTTTTGGATCTCAAGCATCAAATCATTGACTGCCTTGTCGAGGTTGTTATTGCCCGTAACGACTGCTTGGGAACCACGAGCGTTGATGTTGGCAATGAACTTGCCGAGCCCGATCTTGTATTGGTACTCGTCCATGATTTTGTACAATTCCACCATGACGTTTATACCTTCTTCAACCTTTTTGAAAATCCCTAAAAATTCTCCCTGCACTTTGAAACCTTTGGTCATATCTTTGATCTGCTCCATAACGTTTTTCAAGACGCTCTGGATCTGCCACTGGCTGACGACGAGACCTGCCGACGATTTACCTTTGAGTTTCTCCTGCACCTGATCGACACTGTCTTGAATTTTTTTGCAAACAGGAACGATGACGCTGTAAATTTGGCTCTCATATCTCTTCAATTTTTGGATATCTTCATCTGCGCTTTTAATTTGGCTTCCAACCACATCAATTTTATTTTTATACGAACTAATTTTTTGGACGGTGGTCACCGATGTCTGAAAAATGCTTAATGTATTTCGAACTCGGCCAACTATTTTTAATACTTTTTCAACCCGTGGCTTTTTTGCCTGCAATTCTTTTATCTGATCGGAGCATAAATCTTCAATCCTTTTCGACAAGTTATTCATTTTATCAACGGAAGCTTCATCTAGTGACTTGCCTTTGTCCATTTCTCTGTGCAATTCCTCTCGAGCATCGTTGATTTCTTTTTTGATCTTTGAAATTGAATCGTCTTTGAGATCTAACTTTTCTTGTTTCGAAAAGTCATTAAGCATAGTTTGGGCATCTTCCAATTTTTTATCGAGTACATCCTTCTTGTTTTTGAGATAATCTGTCAGTGGCTCCAGTGATTGCTTCACCGCTCCGGGCAACTGGTATAAAGCATTTTCATTGACATCTGAATCGTCGAGGAAAGATTCGGCCGTAGAAGTGACTACGTTAATTCCCGCACCTACTGCCATTCCGATTGGACCCAAGAAAGTCAAGACCGTACTCGCCATTTTTACTATACCGAATAATGCGCTCCACATCATTGATCGATTTAAACTTTTTTGTTTCTCGATTAGTTCCTCTTTTCTCTGTCGGGCAACTTTCTGAAGCGCGACAGTTTCATCAATCAACTTGAGCACTTTTTTGTCCAATCTTTGAATAGTGTTATGTATTTCTGGGGCTATGACGTCGGTGACGTAAAGCTGAGCTTCTTTTATTTTCGTCTCAAATTCTTGAACGTAATCCCTCTTATATCCATATATAATCTGTGAATCTTTCAATTTTAGTAAATCATCGACGTCGTCTCTGATTGATTCAAAAAAGGTATTTAAGTCGACAACCAAATTAGAGTTGACATCATTTTCCAAATTGACGATTTTACTCAGTGCAGCAGTATACAGGTACCGAAGCACATTCACTTTATCTTGGGTCAGCTGCTTCAAATCTTCAAGTCGTTTTACATACTTCGAGATGTGATTTAGTAAGGATCGATAAGCTGTCAATAGAGACATCTTGGGGCTCAGCTGCCAGAATTGATCTTCGAGTCCTTGGAATTCATCTATTAATCCCGCGACGTCATAAAAATCCATGACAGCTTCATTATCAGTTAAAAGCCTGGAGAATTCTTCCAAAAATGACCCTCGTATATTGTCCACCTGATATTCTCTGAGATAGCGTTTGTAGCTGTTGATGGAATGACCGAATGTCGCTGGCTTCAGTAATTCCCATCGTTTGCTATTCAAATCGGTCAAGTTGCGTGTCTTGCTGGAATTAGTGTAACTGATATCGACGATCGCATCTCCTGGAAGTTCGACTATTATTTGTGGTTTCGAATCATCCAATCCAATGATCGTTACAGTATCTGAAAAGT